TTGAGGATGAGATCAATCTCCTTAGCCCAGCACTTGTTCGTGTCTTTCAGCATCGAAAACATCGTACATAGAGCCGTGTCAAGCCTGGCACTGCGTGATGGTTAGAAGCAGGCGCGAACAAACACAACTTGAACATCATGACGGACCCTAGGCACCACCGAGTGTGCCCCTGTACGACTGACACTGCTGGAAAGGTGCAACTCGTTAAGAACTTCCGAGGGTTATTCAAAAGTCGTGGGTAGTCACCAGTGACAGTACTTGTCGACGAGGAGATGAGAAAGAAGACAGAATACAGAGGATAAACTTGGAGGACATCAAAGAATTAAATAAATAAATAAGAGAGAGGAAAGGTGAAGAAAAAATGAACTGCCCCACTGAGGCTCGAACTCAGGACCTTGATCCAGGGAATGAGTTCCCTCCAGGCGGCTCGCCCCTCTTCATTCCTCTCTCCGGGCGGCAGCACCCCATATTCATTCCTCTCTCCGGTCGTAGGCGCACCCTGCGCACATATAAACCCCCCCCCCTCGCGCCATCTCCCTCCCCCATCCCCCGCCGCCGTGCGCCCTGCCCTGTCCTCTTTGCGGTAAGTGCGCTGTCGGCTCAAGCGCTCAGCGCTCACGGGGGCCACGCGCTCCGGCGGCGCCTATCTCCCTTGTCGCGCACCTCCACCCGTCCTCGACCGCCTTGCTCCCTCGCACCGCGCCCGCTTTCGCTCATCTATACGTATGCGCAACGCACACGCATCGTCGCCGCCTCCCTCCCCCGCCGTGCTCGGTCGCGATGCACGTCCTTACCCGCTGCCTGACATCTCTCGAGGTTGCGTGCAATCTCCTGGCTATCGATAGCCACCGCTTCTCGCCCACACAGCGCAGGCTCCCTGCCCAGTATGTCCCACCCCGTGCACGTTGTGTCTACACTGTCGCATCAATGGCTCCTTAATTGTAAATAAACGTCACTTTCGTCTCGCAGCCTGCCACAGCCGCCTCGTCGTTCGCCCGGGAGATTCCCTGGTGAACCATATGCGCACGTCCACGATGTCAACGAGTCCTGCACCCGCGGACCACGCCCGCGTGAACCATCGCGGCCGGCCAACGACGCCCGCGTGAGCAGTGGCACCCAGTCAACGATGCCCGCATGAGTGGCCAACGACGCCCGCGTCAGCGTTCGCCGCCAGTCAACGTTTCAACGCTGTCAGCGACGCCCTGTCGCCCTGCGCCGTACCCGCCGCACGCTCCGTGTCCTCAAAAGCGCGCCCGCCTCGCTTGCCCTCACCCACCCACTCAGTGCGAGGAGGATGGTCATACCTGGGCTCCTTTCCTTTCTCGAGTGTTTCTTGTTGTTGTTGTTGTTGGATTTATCGGTCTTGGCTGACCTTGCACGCTTTTTCGTCGTCAGCGATGGCTGAGTCTCTCCAGGTGCAGCTTGAGCAGTAGACGAGTCATATGCTGAAGGAGCGAGATGATCAATACCAGTCATTGCAAAAAGATAAAACTCAGCCATCCAAGAGGTCCAAGACAGGTGATGGTCCTGAAGAGAGTAGACTGCCAACAAGATACGGACGGTGCGTAGCGTGGCACGGTGTGCCGATCGATTAGGAAGTACATATGTACTAGAACTGTGGCGGATGTGGCGCGCACCGACGTCATTTAGCCCGATCTTTGATTGCCAGTGTTCCACGTATGCTGCCCTTGCTTCGTCACTCATTTCACCGCCTTGTCGCTTTCTCCGTCAACAGGTCTTCGAATCCAATCCTCCGCCCTTACATATGCTAAATCCGTTGACATAAAAAAGCAAAACAACTGCTCCACTGAGGATCGAACTCAGGGCCTTCCGATTATGGCAAGTGAAGACTTTTTCCCAACATAGAAAGTAGAGACTTGTCTTCGACTTAACAGTCGGACGCTGTAACCAACTCAGCCATGGAGCACATTTGCAGGGTTCTCAAAGTCAGTGGTTATCCCGAATAAGCTCTTCCGGCTGTCGGGAACGCGGGTCCCGCCGAAGGGCGGTGTGTGTTGCGGTCGGGCGCCAGCAGAGCTCTCATCGTCCGCCACCATGCAGCCCACCCTCATCCGTCGCCAGCTCGGCGGCCTTGTGCCTCCCAAAATCGCGACCCCCTCCATTCTGGTCAGGACGCCCCGTACACCTCATTCTCTTTAGTCGGCTGACCCATGGATTGCCGTAGTCTTCTGGCCAGGGAGCAGGCCTGGGCCCGCTCGTGAACTTCTACTCGAAGCTGCCCAAGGGTTCCTCCCCCGCCCCCGCTGTGCGTGGCATCAAGGAGCGGTTCTTTAACGGAAAGAACGCGTCGGCAGCGCCGCTGCTTTGGGGCATCCTAGGCATCTTCGGTCTGGGCTACACCATTGACTACCAGAGTACGTCGCCGAGTTCTCCACACTCACATAGTAGTGCTGACTTGTTCCGGACTATCAGTGCACTTGAGTGAGTGTTCATTGTCCTGTGGTGTGTTGCGGCACTCACGTTCGCGGCGCAGAGAACCACAAGAACCACCCTCACTAAAGGTCGGACTTGGGGAATTCGGCCGGCTGTTGGACGGGCTAGATGTGAAGTCAAGTTTGGATCAATGTTCTGCTGCTCCCGTAATGCATTTTTACTACAAGGCACAGCACATGAGACAACGATTTTTATCGTTGTCGCTCGTTTCCGCCGCCGGACAGGGAGCCCGCCTTCTACTGTGTCTCGCGTGAGTGTATATGCTCTGTGATCTTGCAAGCGTTCTCGTTTGGCTGCTCTCGTGCCGCCGGAGGATCCCATCCCTGCATACCCAGTTCAATTGGCTCGTCGAATCTGTCTCACTTTCCTCGATGCCTCATTCCCTGGGGAGATCGATTCTCTCCAGTCCCGTACGGGTTAAACCTCGCGAATGCCGATCTTCGTCTTCACGATTGTTGGCAAGATTCTAGGGAGCACATTCTCATCGTATCCACGTCTATATTCACCATTGCTGTAGTATGTAGCCATTGCAAAAATATCAAGAATGTGGTCGTTACGGCTTTTGGAAAACAGCGCGGCTCAGCGAAAGAAGGTTCGATCATAGAACGCTTGCCAGTCGATGACTCAGGAGTGCATGTGCTGTGCCAGGGTCCGCACACATTCTTCTCGTCTCAATGATTGTTTGAGTCTGCTGCAGGGCAGGGCCCTATGCCGGATTTACAAACGGGGAAGTCTTCAGGATGGAACAGACGGGGGTAGCGATCATGGGGTAGGGTCCGCACATACGTCCTCGGGTGGTCCTCCGGGTACTGAGATACCTCTTCTACGGTGATACTGCGCATGCCCGACTATGCCCCAGAGAACGTTGACGATCGAAGGTCTTCGAGAAAATGGTACATCATCGCACGCATGAAACGGGTGCGTCGTGTTCGTCCCTCTGCTGCATGTCAGTATAGGCTGACGCTGGCGGCTGTGTAGACAACGAGACGTGCGGAATAATAGCCATAGCGAGACCTGTAACAGAGTCTACACCTTTACCTAGAAATTCAGCCCATGTTGCTCCGGTTTGAGCTTCGCTACGGCATCACAGACTGCGTGGCCTAGTTCCGAGTTGAGGACCTCGCGGCAAGACACTCCGGCTGCATATGCATGTGCTGCGTACGTGGTTTGAGACTTACGGATGGCTCTTTCGCTGGCGTTCATATTCGCGACGCGTTTCCGAGGGTGGCTGCGAAAGGCATCGTTCCGTGAGTCTTGGCTGCGATACGCGCGTGTAGGCTTTTGCTCGTATTTCGTTATAGCGGCTTTATTGGTACCCGTACTTGTGGTTGATATCACCGTGGTTGCACCACTGCATCCCCGTGACGTCAGGATGACTGGCCTGACGACATCATGTCCCCCACCTCCGCGCCGCCTGGGCGGACGGGTATATAAGAGGTCGTTGTCCGTCGATCATTGCAGCCCACAACTCGTTCTACTGGACCATTTCACGGCTTAACGACTTCTGTATCCATCATGTCCACCCAGAAGTTTGTCGGTACCCAGCCCGTCGACAGCTTCCCGCAGGACGCGACGTCGAAGATCCCCGACTCAGAGCTCAACAAGCGCGAGGCTCAGCGTAACCCCACACAGGAGCCGGGCGCGAATAAGCGTGCCGGCGCTGCGTCAAGGGATCCTGCAGGTATGTTAACTACACATCGTACAGTTGGAAGACGTATGACTGACATGGCGGCCCAGAATTCGACAATGTAGGACGGTCAGGAGGACCCTACGGAGATCCAAAACCGACAGCAGGTGTGTTCAATGCCACCAAGTAAGGTTCCATGCACGGAATACTGACACTCTCACGCAGATCCTGTGGTATAAAACGTCGCCAGTAGCTCGGACATTGCATGTCACAGGCAATGTTTGTATCAACAGAACGCACATATTTTGCATTGCTTCCCGCACGCCACAGTAATCACGACAAATACAGAGTAATGATATCACACCTTTACGCTTCAATGCCAGTTGGCAATACCTGCGATCAGTGGGAATGTCCGTCTCTAGCAAAGTACGGGTACCCGAGTGCTCTAGGCTTCGCCCACACCACTTTGATCTCGCCATCGTTCGTATTTAGCGACAACGTCTGGTGTGATTTGTCTCTTCATCGTCTTGGCCGCCTCGACGAACACATCGTGTGGGACCTTGACAGAGAGTCAGTCCAGCCAACCGTTCAAAATGAAAGCGACGTACGAAGGGCGCGTTCATATCCCTCTTCATTGTGTGAAGCGCAGCCTCCTGGCATAGCGCAGCCAACTCCGCGCCAGAGCATCCTTCAGTCTGCAAGACACATCAGCACGAACATCCTAGCACCAAACGCAAAGAAAACCCTACCAGTTGCGCAAGCAACGCGTAGTCCATCTCCGGCTCGACGCTCATCCTCGCCGTGCGTATCCGGAGGATCTCCTCGCGCCCGCTCGCATCGGGCGGGCCGACGTAGAGAATGCGGTCGAGCCGCCCGGGGCGCATCAGCGCGGAGTCGATCGCCTCGGGCCGGTTCGTCGCCGCGACAATGGTGACCCCGACGAGCTCTTGCACACCGTCCATTTCGTTGAGGAGCGAGGTGAGCACGCCTTCGTGTGCGCCGCCGGAGGTGTCGGAGGTGCGGGAGGTCGCGAGGGCGTCGATCTCGTCCTGGAGTTATGTGAGATAGGAGGAGGGGAAGGGAGGAGAGGGACGTACGAAGAAAATGAGCGAGGGCGCGGCCGCGCGGGCTTTGCTGAAGACCTCGCGGACGGCGCGCTCGGACTCGCCGACGTACTTGTTCAGCAGCTATAACGACCTTGTCAGCGGTCACCGGTCAACACTACTGAGTGTAACGCGCACCTCCGGCCCCTTGACAGCCAGGAAGTTCACCCCGCTCTCAGTCGCGCACGCGCGCACAAGTAGCGTCTTGCTGCACCCCGGTGGGCCGTACAGCAGCACGCCCCGCGGGGGGTGCACGCCCAGCCGCGCGAACGCCTCCGGGTGCAGCAGCGGCCACTCAACGCACTCGCGCAGCTTCTCGATCGTGTGCGCCTGCCCGCCGATGGAAGCGTACCGGACGGGGGTGAGGTCGAGCAGCAGCGAGCGGAGCGCGGAGGGGCGGATGGTTGGGAGGGCGGTGAGCAGGTCCGTGAGGGTGAGTTGCGGGGCGGAAGAGGAGGGGTCTGAGGAGGCAGTAGAGGAGGAAACGAGCCAATGCTTGATGGCGAGCGTCCCTGCTTCCCGTACGACGGCGCTGAGGTCCGCGCCGACATACCCGTGAGCCTTGGCGGCTACCGCTCGGAGGTCGTCGGGTGAGATCGAGTGGGGTGTCTTTGAGAGGAGGACGAAGAGGATGTGGAAGCGCGCTTCCGCGTCGGGGATCCCTATATGCGCGTGTTTTAGTGAGCAATCGCACCCTGAGATGCTTGGTTGACAAACCGATTTCAATCTCGCGGTCGAACCGCCCCGGTCTGCGCAACGCAGGGTCGATCGCGTTCGGTCGGTTGGTCGTAGCGACAACGACGACCCTCTCCTCCTTCCCCTCCTTACCCGCCTCCATCCCGTCCATGATCGTCAGGAGCTGCGCCACGACGCGCTTCTCGACCTCCCCGCCAGGCCCATCTTCACGCCGCGGACAGAGCGCGTCTACTTCGTCGAGCACGACGATGCACGGTGCACGCGACCGCGCCTCTGCGAAGACGTCGCGAAGTTTCGCCTCGGTCTCGCCGTGATAGGCGGAGGAGAGCTCGGGGCCGTTGACGGTGAGGAGCGAGGCGCGCGTGGAGGCGGCGATAGCGCGTGCGAGGTGTGTCTTGCCTGTGCCGGGTGGGCCGTGGAGGAGAATGCCTCTGGGTGGTTTAAGCCCTATTGAGGGTTACTGAGATCAAGCCAGGCTGCGTGGGGGGAGATACGTACCGAAATGCCGGAAGAGCTCTGGCCGGGTGAGCGGGATTTCGATGAGGTCGCGGATTTGCGCAATTTGTTTGTCGAGCCCACCGACGGCGGCATAGGCATTTGGGTCGACGTCGCGTTCGATACCTTTGCCAAGTGCCTGCAGGAAGATCTTCAGAATAATGATCACGAGGTGAAGGGGAAACCCAAAGTACCGCTTCTGCTGTACCATCTCTATCAGATTTTTCACCGTCGCGGTCTAGGCGGACTATGACGTCCCAGTCCACCGTCCATAAGTGTGGTTTTTCTTCTTTCGCGATAGACAGCGCTGCCAGGTTCTCTGACAGGTCGTCTGCATGGCCTTCCGCTTCGTTCACGGCGGAGACGGCAAACCGCCGGCTCCGGCCCTCGTACGATACTTCCACTATCTGTGTGGGTGTGAGGTACTTCTGATCGACTGTGTACACGAGGGGACGATGATCGTCAGCGAAGCGTCCACCTGGGAAGCAGCCATCGCGGGAGAATGGGCTGTGGGAACGACCGGGGCGCACCTAAGACCTCTCTGACGAGGAGCGTCAGCCAGTCGCGTCTCTTTGCAAGGCTATCTCCATGAGTCTGCGTCTTGGGGTCGTTATTGGATCGCAGATTGGCGGACGATGTCGATATTTCGGGAAGGACCTCTCGCATGCGGATCGTGCGCGCGGCTTGGGCATTTTTCAGCGGGGGGACATGCGGTGGGGGTCTGCCTCCGGTCAGCGGATGTAGTTGTGTTTTCGCTCCGGGGGACAGATGGGCGGTCAGGAGCAGGGACTTTGAAATGAGAATAGCTAGATTCCCCAGCCATAGGAAGTGAGCACGTTCGCGAGAGAAGAGTGTACAGCGGCGATGACGACTTACCGTCGTGTGATATGTCTATGGAGGGCCACACGACTCCCACAGCGAAGGCCTGTCATATCGAGAAAGATAGTCAGCCGAAGCTCTGAGGATGGCGCGAGGCTGGTCAGCTGCGCGCCCGCCATATTGGACGATATGCACTCACTGTGACTCCAGAATCCACTGAGGAAATGGCGATGGCATCACCAGCGCAGAGCTTAGTCGCCTTCACCACCTCTGCGTTTATCGTGATTCGTCTTGCTGCACGGCCGGAGACGCTGCGGGTGCTGACGACAAATGTCTTGGCCGCAATGGAGGTCATGTTGCACCCGGCGCGAATAGGACAGATCAACTTTTCAGAAAAGGCGCAGGAGTCGATGTCGACGCGAGCCACACAGGCCAGCGTAGCCGCTACCAAGCCGTCGTGGCAGAGGGGCGATCGTAGGTGGAGGCGGGTGTTTCGTAGGATTTACGTTTTTAGTAGTCCTACTTTTCGATCGCTGTGCCACGTGGTCGCCATACCTGCGCGGTGGCGACGGGAAGCCCGCGTGTCTTCGACGTTCGTCCTCCCGGTCGTCCTCCTCGCTCAGTCTTTGTTATGCATTCATCGTCCTGAACAACCTTCTCACATAATACTCCCGCTCTGTGCGAGCTCCAGACCACCAGGAACATGCGGCCGTCGTTCAGAACACTCGTATGCAGTCTCTGCCTTGGGGCAATCGCCGTAGCTCGATTGTCAGAAGAGTTCAACGAAGAGCTTCATCTACGACCTCTGCGGGACGGTAAACTAGCAGCTCGGTTCTCATTCAGCACACTTCTGAAGGGTGCGACTCCAAGACACCCGGAGACTCTGGGAGTAGAGGACGACTGTGAGTCGCTCAGTGATCGTCGTACAGCTTAGAGGTGAATTGCCAGCTAGCGCAGCTTTATACTTTGCTTCCTCTTGCTCTCGGTCAAATTTTACGAGAGTATGCTGTGACCGAATTACACCTCACGCTCAACGCTGGAAACTGGAACTACGACCGCTGGGGCTATCCTGATGAGCCCGGTGTTGGCACGGGGGCCGAGCTGTGGGCATGGATGGGAGAAGGTGGCGTTGTCACGTAAGTGTTCGATGTCCTTTCAAAGAAACGGCATATCTTACCCTATTGCCGCAGAGTGGACAGCCGATGGCTGGGACTACGCAATGCCCTCGCTGGACTATTTTGCGCCTCGTTGGGTTCTTTGGACGAGCAACGTACGACTTCACCCGTGCTCACATTCCAGCCGGAGGGCGCCTTGCCAAATGGGACTGCGAGCCATCAGCTACGGCACGCCACGCTACCGTCGGAGCACGTCTGCACGGAGAATCTGACGCCCTTCCTCAAGCTCCTGCCGTGCAAGTCTCTGTCCGGCATCGCCAGCCTCCTCAACCCACACAGACTGTTTGATGCCGACTGGCACGGTCTAGGCGTGCACGTCCGATATCTTGAAGACGCTGGCGTCGAGGTGCGCCTGGCGTTCCAAGCCGTCCTGGATCCGGTCCGAGCTGTATCGGACGGACGACGAGGTCGGTGGGCTAGCGTGTACAGCCTCGCCATGCCAGCTGATCCCAAGCGTTGACTTTGCAATCGCCAGACTGGTCTCTCAGCGCCATTTTTGATCGCCGTATCGAGAGGGCTTGTCCTGTGGCGCGTTCGAGCGTCATTCGCGTGCGGCTCCCCCAAAACGAGACGTACGCAATCATACCATCACCGTCGACAATGGACTCGACATATGCAACATATGTTATGAGTGAAGGTATGACCTAAGTGATCACGTCATGGATCTCGGTGCTTATGGTGAGTGGGCGCAGTGAACAACCCACCCGATGTCGCCATTCGATGGGTCGAAGAAACAACGTTTCAGTATCGTGAGTCTGCATACGTGTCGTCTCGAATATGCCTTACGTGAAGAGACTACAGCACCCACCATCGAACCGCAGACGCACATATCCGTGCATCGCACATTGAACGGCGCTAGCCAGCATACGGGCCAACTGGCGCTGACAGTTACGAATAACCACGATATCCAGCTACAAGCGGGTTATTTGGAGACCATGCCGTGGCTGTTGCAGTTTTACTTGCATACTCTTCACGCCCAGATCGATGGCGCGTCTCGGGGTACGTCTTCCGTCCAGTTCAGCCCGGATTGTCTTGTCTCACATTGTGCGGGTCTGCTTTTCAGATGATCTCGTTAAGGTCATATCATACACGCCACCTCTTCCACATGTCCAGCCAGCGCTTCTGCAAGCTGTCTTGACACTCCCGCCGAAAAGCACGTTGCGGCTAACCATGGATGTCGTGAAACCCTTCCTTGCCTACACGGAGCACCCTCCAGATGCGCAGCGCGGCTGGGATCTCCCCCCGGCCGTTTTCGTGCCGTTCTCAAGTCAGGACGGCAGTCAAACAGACTCTGATCCGCAGCAACGCGCCATCCTCTCGGACGTGCGCTCGATGCGGATGTATACCCCTGTCCTCCTCGTCGACCTGGCCACGCCGGACTTCAGCATGCCGTACAACGTGATCATCATGAGCTGCACGCTGATTGCACTCATCTTCGGCATGGTATTCAACCTGCTGACGAGGAAGTTTGTAGTAGTACGCGTTGCCGAGAAATCGTCTTGAAAGGATGCGAACGCATCTTCGTGGACCCTCGCCCGATCCGCCGAGGCAATCCGGAATGAATGGGTGAGAACCACAGGCACCTGTCGCGACTAGCCTTGTCCTTGAGACCACAGCAGTCGCTGGCGACCAGCTGACTGCAGACTGACGGCAACGTGGGCCAGATCCGCAAAAACACCCGCGGCTATTGCGCGTCAGATCGGCGATGCTCGACTATTCTTGAGAGCAGCAAAGCAGGAGGGCTCCTGGGACGCGGTACACGGACTGATGGCAGTCAGTGGCACCACCCTTGTTTTCTTGCCGTACGTCCCAAGGCCGTTCGTGAGGCGTCTTCGCTGACTCCACCATCTCGCCGACAGGCCAATACGCTCAGAAGTGTGGTCATGAGAGTGCTCCTGCGGACTGCACCCGGCCTGGACCGATATGTACGAGCACTGAGCCCACATCTCGTCACACACAACCTGGACCGCGTGGTGAGCTCGGATGCGTATCGAGTTTTATGGCTGGCGGCTTCTCTGACCTGCCTCCGGAGCCGTCAATTCGCGAAAGGGTCGTACGCCGTAGTATGCCCAGGATCCGATCCCGACGGTCGTTCTGATAGTGTCGGCCAGATAGCAGATCGATGCGCGTATGAGGACGTTGCATCGATGGCGAGCATCGGGCGGCAGCAAAATGTGTGCCGTTCCACCTGGTCTTGGCTTATCGAGGAACGGGATATTCTTTCAACCTTTGGCTGGGGATGAGGTACGGATCTTGCTGGGAGCTCATTGACTCGCGGCTTGATGAAATGTCGTTCGGGTGTGGCTGGTCCACATACAGAAGTCCTCGCCGCACGATCCGAGGAGCTTCCTCGGTGAGTTACATATGTTCTACGAACCGGTCGCACATACGTACGGTATGAGCGAACCTGCCGCGGCGAGTTCTATCGATGATTCCTACAGACTCCGCGGCCAACGAGATTGACAGTTTTCCTGACAATCCAGGTACACCGCACGTTTGTGAGTTCGATCGCTCGTCATTTCACGCGCGCGTGTGAACGCCCAGGACTGGCTCCTCGTTCTCATGTCCTGGACCTTCACAGCCAGTTCACAGCTGGAGTGCGGCCACCGGTAGACCCACAAGATCGATATGGGAGAAGGCCTCCTATGCTTCCGGACGCAGGGCCAATGTGGCTTGGATCTTCTCAGCCTCTTCCGTGATCGAGTCTGCTGAACAATCTCGGAAGCGGCCAATCGCTCGGAACAGTGCTGGTATAACAAGAGCGTTAGGTGAGATGGCACTATACCTCAAACAAGCGTTGAGGGCGCGCAGACGGACGCTGGTGACGAACGATTCTCATCCTATGCGCTATCTTCGTAACACCGATGGCGACAGCGTCCTTTTATCTCTTCTCCGGAGGAAGTGCTTTCGCCTGCGCGTCCACCCTCGTCATGATAAAGAAAATAGTCGTCGAGTCACATGATAGTAGCCTCGAAGGCCTTCTGCGTGGACCAGTGTAAGTATGGTTCAGAACCGCCTGCAGGCGAGGACAGCACAAATATCTCACGAGTCGCATTCCGACAGCCCAATCAGTGTGGTGCTTTCATGCGCCGCTCGTTGAGTTCTGATCATGCTGGGGACCTGTTAGCCCAGCGCTTCCTGCACGCATGTTCGCATAAAAAGACAAGAACTTCTGCAGTGGCACGTCCCGACATCTCTTCGCCCCTCCCGTGTGCCACCGTATCACCCGCCTCTGAGTCACTAGGACTCATCCCCGGCGTGGCAGTCGGTATATCTTGAGCCTGTTCCCCCCTTACCAGTCCACTCATCCTACGTGTAATGTGTCGCCGTATTGCGTACGTTCCTTCACGCTCATCCTTTGAGCCACCACTGAGAGCGCCTATGTAGGGAAGGTACACGGTGGTCGAAGTGTGGGGTATGCCGTCCCGAGCCGATCAGAAAGAGGTCAGCTGAACGAGTAGCATGTCTGTCCTTGCAGCACTTTCAGCGTCACGGCATTGCCGCCATCATGGACTGCAACTCAGGTCACTGCGAAAGGAGTATTTCGCACCCTCGCAATTGCAAAGACCCCAAATGTCAAAAAGTGAGTGGACGCGCGTAACAATGTTGCCACCGTGGCGCATTCCCCGGCGGATTCGCTGACGCTCCGCGGCGCATCTGCAGAACTACGGTCAAGAGGTCCAGAAAGACATCGACGTTGTGAAGGACTACTGCTTCCAATGTCGAGCCACCGCCGCACGTACAGTTCCCACTTGATCGGGACCCGGCCAGTTGTTGTATTCGTCTGCATTCATGTCTTCCTCTGCTATTTCGCACGCATGGACAGGTTGTATCACTCACATGTCTTCGCTTTCGCTTCGCACATCCCACCGGTAACCTTGCATATTTGTAATCATAATACAGTAATGATACTCTGTCCGAGTACTGACCGTGGCTAGCTCTTCCCCGGTGAGAACCACCCCTGATAGGATTTGTGACCACAATGCACGTAACTCTGGGTGGGCTAGTGGACTCACCACTGCTGGCATTTGAATGCTGTGTACCCTGCAGGATCCGAGTCATACCCTGCTACGTACCATGTCCTTGTTTCATTCCACTTTCCAACCAGTGGTCCGCAACCGGCGGGTAGAGGCAGGGTACCCGTGATTGATTATTAGAAGCTGTGGCGTCATCTTCTATTAATCTTCATGTTCTGCCATTCAGCGATGACACGATGGCTTTGAGACATGAAGGTCATCGGTCAAACATGAGGCGAACGTGAGGACGGTGGCAGCGCGCCTTGCTACCAAGAAGTGGAATTACCGGTCCCTGGAGTCCCCGCGTTGGCGTTCTCACCTTCGAGCAAGTTGCGGGCTTGCATGTTTCAGGGTCTGCTGCGTCTACTCATGGAGGTCTGGCGCCTGAGGCGCTTCACAATACGTCGAAGACGAAGTTGTGCGATAGCAGAGGCGGACTCCAGAGAAGTTTTCTGGTCGGTAAAACCATATCAGCGTGGTCATGAGCATGCAACAAAAGCAATGCAATGTACTGCCTTTGAAGCGGTGTCACCGCAGGACCAGATGGGTCGCAGAGATGATGTGGATACGGGTTCAACGAGATACGGGATGCACAATCCAACAAGAAGCAACCGGGCCGCGTGGCGAGAAGTTCATACACGCACGTCTGATCGAAGAAGATCCTAGATACATAGATGTGAGCCGAAATGAAAACCAGGAACATGCCAAAGAGATGACGACGATACGCTTGGAAGGAGTATCCGATATGCTGGGAGGAAGGGCTCGAGTCAAACAACTTTGTACGTCAAGATATGAGCAGGCGCCCACTCTGAGACGTCACCGTAAGAACACAGCTGAGCGAGATGCGCACGATTCCTGGGAAGACGGGGACGCTCTTGAACAACCTGAATGTCTTGTGTGCGAAGGATGGCGAGGTATGCGTCCTCCCGGAACAAGGCCGGTGGTCTAGTGGGAGATCGTGCTATCCTACATGCAATCAGAAAGGAGCTGTACTCAAAGAGAATAGAGCTCACCAGTTACCCGCACTGGAGTCCGACCGATCGAGGAGCGTATCGCAATGGTGCCTCATTGGCCAGAACGAGGCAGGCAAACTCATAAAATGCCGCGGTAAGATATCAATATATCAATAGAGATCAGGGCACGATGCCGGTAGTCGAAGCAGGAGAACAGCACCTTCGAGGCTGCTGTGGGATCGGGAAGGCCTGCTGCACGCCTGTGTACGTCAATGGATGAATAGCGATAAATAGCCATTCTCATTCTATACGATTCGATCGCCACGTCGATTGCGACAGTGCGTTGCATTTGTGCAGATCGCGAATTCCCAAAGGACGCGTGCGAAAACAACACATAGCTACAGTATGCTGATGCGAATGCCTTGCTGAAGGATCGATGTACTCGTCGGAAACTGGCCACACAGACGCACATAGATAGGGCATAGTAACAGCTGAATCGAGACTCATGGGCACTCACCGAGTACCACAGAGGCCATCATTAGGTCAGAGAAGCATTGCCCATAGCATTGTACTGGGCTAGGCCCGACTTCGAATGACGCCTAGGAGGTGATGCGGTGATCTATCGAATAGCGAGTAAAGTTAGCCACAGCAATACCGCTGTTAACTAACGACCTTCGCAGTGACAAATCACCTGCACATAGCATATCCACTTCCGGACGATTGAGGTTAAGACCACGGTAGCCGACATCTGACCTAGAGAGCACCGAAGTTAACAACTCCGGGCCTACAGTCCCACTCAGCATTTCGGATACGACGTACGTTGTATTTATACCTTCATGCCGGGATCTACTTTGGGTTATCATACCCAATAATCAGCTTGAAGGCTTGGACGTGGTCTTGGGTCAAAAAGGATCAGAACTCAAGTTCATTGAAGGCGCAACTTAAAGGTGTGGCTTACCTGATTACCGTGACGGTCCACTGGCAGTCACTTCAGTTTCGCTGTGATGATTTTAAGTACAAGCCGAATCTAGAGAGGAACTGGCTGTAACTTGCAAGTAGTAGTATGTACAATGTCGAGAACGCTCGAGGACGGCGCGTGCGACTCGGACTCGGAGGCGTTGAACAGACGTACGTAAGCCATTTCATCCACGATCTGATCTGAATCTGCCGTGCGTCTAAATTCGGCGTGACAAATTCGTGCAACCAAACGACTGCCACAAACGACTGCCCAACAGCCACCATCGTGCGGGTGTATGCGTCACGAACGAACTTGATCAGGCCACCGACTTCAATCGACCAAGACCAAGGATATATTGCTATCCCACCCTCTAGCTCAAAGCTCAACTGCAACCATGAGTGAGGCAGTTCGGAGGTCTCGCGCCAGGGAGTCTGCTACGGGGACCTTACCGCTGCCTCCGAGAAGGATAGACTCTATCTCAAGAATACCGCATTCGAATGGGTGAGTTCGAAACAGGGTTTGCGAGAACTGGGCTCAGTAAATGTGATACCTAATCTGGCGACTTTTCTGTAGCACCGCCGAGCGAGCATCCCTGAACCTGTGGACAGCGGGTGCCAGTGACTCGAGAGCTTCGGATACAGAGCGTACGTGTCTCTCAAGTTACCTCAGCATGTATTCAGGCTTGACATTGCGCATTAGCGAATCATGATTCACGTAGGCTGCCACAAGAAGTCTGGGCCATCATTCTCGACTACTTGTGGAACGAGCAGAAGGCACTCATTGCTTGCAGTCTGACGTGTCACGCGTGGGTTTCGATAACGCGTCGTCACCTCTGGAATACTGTCAAGTGCGTCTTGCCGTGGAAGATTCAATACCTCCGGGAGTCTCTCAAAAGCTTCCCCGAGCGAGGGACCTTGATCCGCTGCCTCGAAATCGAAGGGGACTTATTGACCCCCAGCTCGCTTGTATCGCTCCTATCAAATTTTATCAACCTCGAAACGTTGACGATTGGGATGTTAAAATACATGCACCGAGCGGGGGTGCACATCTCGGAAGAATCGCTCAAAGCCATAACGCTCCCGCGACTGAGCACGCTATCACTCCTTTACTCCACCTGGGAGACCGTCACTCTGGGCCGCTTGCTTTGCGCGTTCCCCCGCCTTACTACATTGTATATGAAACGAATCGTTTTCTCCGACGAAGGCGAGCAGTGGGATTCCATCGACCCTTCTATCCGCGACGACCTTGTGGCCCGTCTCGCCGGTCTCCATCTGAAGACTCTGACTTGGTATTGCGGAGCAGTATGGGAGGAACTCGACGGGTTGCTCATCAGCTCACCACTGTGTCGAGGTCTTCGCAAGCTCTCCCTCCCGGGCGCTTACGGTATCACAGTTGGCCATAAGGTCGCCACCGCGTTCCCGATCCTACGGACAGCTGGGCCATCGCTCGATGCCCTCACGCTGATGGTGTCTACCCGAGATGAGGATGAAGCGGGCCTAGACCTTCTGGACTTTTCGCTGAATACAAACCTTTCGACGTTCCACATCGGGATTTTGGCAGGTGGACATCGCAGTTATTGGGCGGACCGCCCGGCGTCCGTGCTTCGTCGACTGGTGGGCTCGCCAGCGATGTATTCCCTCAGACGCCTGGACCTCTACTTGCTCCTGTATGACTGCACACAGCCTCCTCCGGACAACTACATGAGGCCGAGCAACGCCCGTCTCGGCGACATAATCGTGTCTATGCTCCGGGACAATTCGCACTTGATCATCACTTTCCATGCGCGTGGTTCGGCGTATGCAGCTGGGGTTGCGCGGCGCGTGTTGGCGGAGTATGTCGTGCGTTGTGCACCCGAGTTCGTCGCCACCGATGCGCAGACACGTCTGCGGTTGATACACGACCTCGCTGTCTTTGGAAGTGAACATTCACCTTTGAATATGGGACATTGGGAACCAGGCTGGGAAGATACGGACATATCTGGAAGTGTCGCTCTTCTGGACGCAGAGGTCGGCGGATAAATTACGGGATGTTCTTAGTATGTAAGTCAGTCGCAATATCCTTCCTTGTGTGCCGCTTCCTAAGCCGTACCATTCTCCATATAGTATCCTCTGTACCGAGTACATGCATAACACAGTATCCTACTCCCAAATGAGCGTGCATTCTTTGTGCTACTGGTGTGTACCCACATATGCTTTTAGTATTTCGCGCGAGACGACCTGGAAAATGCGACTGGTTCTTCTGTGAAACGATGTACTTCCTATTCCATTTTCAAGTTGATTTGTCTCTTCCCGGAATTGCGTGCACGCTGCACGCTACATGGGGGACACCTTCATTGTTCAAGGGGCCACCTCCTCCACCCGGCAGACGCCGGATCAATCGATCACGCGACACGAGTTGACTCTCGGAAGGTCCGAACATCAACCAACTTGCCTTCGGTTGAGCACCCCAATAGTACTCGGATACATAGCGTGACCCTGTAAGCCTACTATACCACTCGTCGTTCTCGACCCATTGACCAGGTGTCGATCTACTTAGTCTCGTATACAGAGGCTGTATGTCCCGGGGAGTCTGCTATGGACGCATCATCGCCTCCGCCTCCGGCAGACATCCTAAGTGTTTTGCCCGGAGCTCTGGCACAGCTGGAGATTGATACACAGTACATACAATTCGTCTCACATGTCCATGAAACGCTCTGACGAGTTTCTATGCAGGTTTGCAAAAGGATCTCTCCGTGCGGATCCACGTACACTAGGCGTCGCTGTCTCGAGGGCGCCCGAGTCTCACACAGAGCGTCAGTGTCCCTTTCATTGCGTGTGCATCGTCTACTCATCTGTCGATTCATTTCTTCAGCGACACATGAATCATAGAGACTGCCACAGGAGGTCTGGGACCACGTTCTTGACCACCTCTGGGATGATCATAAAACACTCGTGGCCTGCAGCCTGACGTGTCTTGCATGGGTACCGACAACGCGCTGGCACTTATGGCACACGATTCAGTGCCCCTCCTCGCGTAAAGCGACAGCCCTACTGAACGTTCTCTCGAACTTTCCGGAGCGAGCGGCGTCGACTCGCTGTCTCTCAATCTACGCTACAGCCCAGCTGTCACTCGTGTCACTCTTCTCAACCTTTGTAAACCTCGTCACGTTGACCGTCACCGCATACCTGGGCACAGATGAGGAAGGCGGATCCGAGGAACCCTTTAGGGCGATGCAACTCCCGCATCTGACCAAGCTGTCGCTTCGCGACTCTGTTGTCCCGACGGCAGTCATAGGCCGCATACTCTCTGCACTCCCGCGCCTCTCTACGTTGCGCTTGGACGATACGGTACTCCCCGGCGGTCATACAGAGACCTGGAGTTCGACGGATACTGTCACTCGTATTGCCAAATTACAGCTGGAGACCTTGGTCTTGGGTGGTAGATCAGGATGGGGGGAACCCAACGAGCCCCTCATCAGCTCACCACTATGCCGAGGCCTTCGAACACTCGTTCTCAGGTATCTTCAACCTGATGGTCTTCACAGTGATAAAATGCTCGCTGCAACCCTCCCACTCCTCCGCACGGCGGGACCATCGCTCCAAGTGCTCACGCTGATGGTGACGACCCCCGACACGCCCGAGCAGGCCTTCAACCTCTTGGACTTCTCGCTGAACACGAACCTTGCCGCTCTTCACACTGGCTTTGTGGCGAATTCAGGCGTATGGGCTCATCGACTGACTGCCGTGCTTCGCCAGCTTCGGCGCTCACCGGCGATATATTCCCTCAGACGCCTCGACGTCTATTTGCTCCTGCATGACTGTAGGGAGCCGCCGGCTCACGAGAACTACATGAAGCCGAAAAACAACAATCTCGGGAACATGATCGCTGTCACTCTCCGTCAGCACTGGCAGCTGGTTGTCACCTTCCATGCTCGCGGTTCCTCGTACGCGGCTGGCTATGCACGACGCGTGTTGGCGGAGTATGTCGAGCAATGTAAGCTGGAGGTCATGAACGCAGAGACGCGTAAGCGCCTGCGATTCGTGCATGACCTGGCAGAGGACTGCCCGCCTTGGCACAGGGAGGAATGGGCTACGGTACTGGACTGGGATGATGTGGGTATTTCCGGGAGCGTTATTCTTCTAGGTGCAGCGACTAGTGATGAAACGGGATGTCCGTCTCAACTTGCGAGTGAGTGACACTATCTATCGCTTGCCGTCTGTTTACCGGTACAGCGTCATCGGTTTGCAAGGAGACTAGATCGTGCAGGCAGTAAATGAGTGGTATACGTATATCCGAGATATATGTAGGTCATAATTGCAATACAAGGGCGATCCCGACAGTCTTCCTTACGCGAAACACTGTCATTATTATACAGAGGTACAGTATAGCCTCGATCCTGTGGTTGAGGGACGGTACATATCGATGATGAGAAGACACCCCTATAAATACAGAGACGCGATAACCAAGAGCCCGTTTCAGAGGATACACGAGTCATGGGAGAAATACGTTGTTACATGACGAAAGCACTTGTGGAGGGTCCATATGGATCGATGGGTGCGACCGCACAGGTGGAGTCCCGCGGGCGTTTGACGACGCGACGGGATTTCACTTTCTCTGATGCGTTGTATGAGCTTTATACTGCGCTGAGAATGCATGTCCACACTCACTTCCTCCGCCCTTCAGACGCCGTAGCTTGCGCTTCTCCGCGAGCACGTCATCGTTGTGCTCGTCGACCTCCGGCTGCCTCTCGTAGGGGACCGTGTGCCCGCACGTCGGGCATGTACAGCGCACGGGATACGACGCGCTCAGCTTCTGCTTCCAGTATTCCTTCCTGAGCTTCGTGATCTCCTTCGTGTACATGTGTGTACGAAGGCTGGCGTCGGGAGTGGCACGACGCGCTCGTAGGACGGGTTCTTTGTCCAGTGCGTGTTCGAAAGCGGCAACTGCCTCGTGGGGGACGATGACCTCTTTCTGCCCCGGTGCTATGTAGCCGATGATTCTGAGGTAGTCGACGAGAACGCTCGGCACGGTGACCTCTTCGCGCTTACGCAAGACTGAGGAGATGGCGAGCTCGATGTTGGTGAGCATGATGAATCGACCAGAGGCTGACAGCGAACGATGATGCAGACGAAAAGGACAAGTGGATCCTGGAGGATGTGTGCGGAATGATGAGACGCGGTTAAGTAGTGGCTTTGAGAGAAGGTGTCGCAATATATACGCAGAGTCGATTGTGCCACTCAGAGATGCACGCGGCACAGGTGCGGTACACTGGATTGTATTCTGGGGAGTGGCTGGATCTTCCGCCCCGCACTGAAGAGCGACTGTATGTAGACAGAGTTCCGAAGCAGGACGACAATCCAGTAACTTATCAACGACTGTGCTGGTGGCCTGTCAGTAGGAGTTCGACGACAAAGACGAGGACCACAATGGTCAGCGTCGCGGTCTCGTGCCCGCGTGTCGCGAGAGTGGCGATGTCACAAGTCAGGTGCCTTCGGACCGCGACATGTCACGCTTATCCGTCACTCCTACGCGCGTGCTGCCCTGAGACGCGTTTCTGCATACGCTGTATGCGGGTCGTACATACTGGTGGGACTTGCTGACCTATCGCGCGTGTGCACATGAAGTGGGCGTGCGCACGGATTCAGAGATGCGGTCAGGTCAACTCGAAACACAAAGCATCCGCGGCCTACATCAGACATTCACGGTCAGTGAGAAAGTACTCTGGTCGATACTATCTGGACGACTCACGTCAATGATATGCGGTCCGTGTCCAAACAGGATGCCCGTGCTCCGAGACACTGATAGAAGGTAGACGACGAGGAGAAAGAGCGACGAAGTATGATGACTATGATCTGCGTTGTTCCTTTCGGTGAGTGGTAGTCGTGTTACGAACGTTGTCTCCGCGTCACACCGCAAACAGGGGAATGCTGCCCGCAGTGTCCAATTCCTGCCATCCAGGCTCCCAGACGTACGTCGCCGGGTCCGCCACGAACTCATGGGAGAATCGCAGCCGTTCCGCTTCAGCTTCGAGCCACGGGGAGGACGTACGCAGACGTTTGGTGATGGAGCCTCTCGCAGGCTCAGCATCCTGTACATGGCCGCGAACGTGGAACGTCACGACGAGATCGCGATGATCCCGCAGAAGACGAGTGATTTCGTGGTCGAGCTGCTCTTGGTGCGGGCGGCGGGGACGCTGGAGAAGGTGCTCGTGCGGTCGCAAGAGCGTGTAGATGTCGACTCGCCTGAGAGCGTCGAGTGTTGGCGGTAGGCGGGCGAGAACGGCGGCAGGGCCGTCTGTCCAGTCGCGAGTGTTCGCTCCGTTGAGCGCGATGTGCAGGGATGTGAGACTGCGGTTGTCAGAGAGGTCCAATCTTCCGATTCCTGCTCGAAAGGCCGTGGACTGGTGACGCAGTACGTTCGGTAGCAACAGAGAGAGCGTCCTCAGGTATGTACTTGCACTACGCAGCATGCGCGAAGACTCCTCGAAATCGCACGCTGATGTTGCCCTGTACTGCCCATGACCAGTGTAGGGGATGCATACAAGAGTGGCCTCCTGGAGTGTACTGCATAACGGTGATAGGAGAAGTCGTAGGGGACCCTGCTTGGCAAAATATAGGATCCACCACACATGCTCGAGTCGGCAAGGCGCATCGGTCGATGAATGGCTACCGAGGTACATTATTGACGTCCCTTCTGGCAAGATAAGCGATTTTGTACTGGGCATGATGTGAAGTAACCAGCCCAGCATCACCGTCGATATATCGCACTCTTGTAGGGACAGAGCCACAATTGATGCCAGAGGTCTCGTCCAGTTTCGTATCACAGGTTCCTGGTCGAGGCGATATGCTTTGGAGTGCAGCCGGTGTAGAGTGAGGGTTCTGAGGTTAGGAAATAAGGCGAGCCGGTGCAGGTTTCGGAATATCAAGTGGACATCCAACTCCACGACCATAGCGGCCAGATCGGGGTATTGTCTTATGAGTACCTGCAAGCGTGGTAAATGTGCCGGCGTAGTACACTGAACCCTGTGCCAAAGATGGGTACGTGCTGTGGGCAGCCAGACCCGACAAGTCAGGCTGCATGTAGCAAGCGCGTCTCGGTCTTTCCGAAGGAGGTCGATTACGTGGTCCCACAGCTCTTGGGGCAGGATTGACAGAGCTGATGTCATGCAGATTCGGTAGGAGGGGTCTTTTAAGACGCAGGGCCTTGTACTAGTAGTTAAAGATGCTTGGCAAACGCAATCCTCTGCGATGTGGGCCCAACGCCTTGACCGGTGACCGCGACGCGCGTCTGACAGAGGTCAGTACGTAGAACTACTCAGGATAGAATCAGTTAAAACTCACCTATACAGTTGCGAGAGATCGACACTGGGCCACGGACGGTCTGAGCGAAGTCCTGAGCCACGCAGTACTGGTATATGGCAGTGGACAGATGGGTGCTTTCCAGAGGAGGAGGAGGAGGCGCGGCGTCTCACAGCACGTGCATCGCAGTTACAGTAATTAAGGAAATATGACCGTTCTACATACTTAGTCTCCCCTAGGCAGACCCTAAAGAAGACCTCTTTGAGTGGGGGAGAGGACGGTCTTCTATGGCGTTCTACTGCCTTGAAGTATTTTACTACTACGTGCTATGCGCGAAGAGGTACGAAGGCCACTCCAAATCAACCGCCTCCCTCGGCCACGCGGGGAGTCAGCTTCACAGCTATGGCAACAGTTGTATGTCAGTACTACTGCTGTGCGCGAAGATGTATACGCTGTACGCAAAGGCCACTCAGCCGCCTCCCTTCGGGAGTCGGCTTCATGGCCTCATTGAGCAATTTTCAACCGCATCCGTGACCCGCGACCTGCATACCCATACCCTGCCCGGGTTCACCGCCGGTGTCGACGGTGGACCGCTGGTTGACTTACCTCGGCGGTATCTGCGCGGGTTTGGGCTTGTTGCCTGCACCCGCCGTCCTCCCCGTCCTCCGTCTTCGCTCCTCATGCGCCATCCTCACCTGCTCCCGCCTGTTCGCCACTGTGTCCGTACCCACGGCGCCCTCGTCGGCTGCGTTGGCATGCGGGGCACTGGCCCTGTGCGCTCGCAGTCGGCGTATTGCGCATGCCCCGGCCTTGCCCTTCACTCACGCGCGCGCGGTCCCTTCGTCGGCCGGGCTTGCCTGCTCGTCATTCGCCCTACGAGCTCGCGGTCGCCATGCGTGTGTCGTCGTCCGGTCGTGTGCCCGCTTGCCCGACCGATTGTGTGACCACTCGCCCGCCCACTCGTCTGCCTGCGTGCGCGTTCATCGGCCGTGTCTGCGTACTGGGCATTCGCCCTCCACGCTCGCGGTCGGTGTGTTGCGCGTGCGCCGGCCTACCCAACAACGTCGCCGTTGCTGGTCTTTTGCTCAGCGCGTGGGGTCTGCCCACCATCTGCTCGCTCGTGTCCACACCCACTCGGTTCCGCACTCACCCTCCACCCATCCTCCTCCTGCTCGCCGCTATGCTCGCACCTGTGGCCCGCTCATCGGCCGCGCATGCACAGGGGACCTCTGCCCTGCGTGCTAGTGGTCGGTGGTGTTGCCGTGCGCCCACCGTCTACTTGCCCTTACGCGTTCTTCGCTCACACGCGGGTGGTCCGTTCATCGGTCGTGTTTGCGTGACGTGCATTCGCCCGGTGCGCTCTGACGTGCGCGCCGTCACCTGCCTTGCTTCACGTCGCCGCGCCCTGTGACTGCAGTCAGCGCGCTCGCTCGCGTGCGTCTGCACTCACCTTTCCCCGATGCCCTTTAGCTCTCGCGCACGCCATCCGTTCGTCGGCTGTGTCTGCACGCAGGGCATTAGCCCTGCATGCTCGTGGTCGTTGTGCGTCTTGTGCCCGTGCTGTTCAAGTTTGGGTTGCTGCACGTCACGCCCGCCAGCCCCTCGCCCTCGCCCTCGCCCTCGCCCTCGCTGTGCATGTCGTGGCCCACTTGTCTGCCCGCTCGCCTGCGTACGTGTTCGTCTTCGTCGGCCGCATCTGCGTGCACTGGGTGTTCGCCCACCGCGCTCATGGGCGGCGGTGGACGTGTGCGCTGTCGCCTGCCGCCCGCCCGCTCTCCCGCCCGCCCGCTCACTCTCCCGCCCATCCACTTGCTTGCACATCCGATTGCCCGTCCACGTGTGCCCACCTGCGCACCAGCTCGCCCGCCTGTCCACTGGCTCCACGCGCATTCGTCGGCCGTGTCTGTGTGCTGGGCATTCGCCCGGCGCGCTCGCGCTCGGCGTGCGCATCGCGTTTCATGTCACCACAGCAACTGCACCCTGGGGCAGGTCAACTCCGGTGCTTCAGACCACTGGGAAGAAAGACGTACATTCTGGCCACTTCCCATCAATCTGTATGCGGGAGCCTGAATCTCGGACAACCTAGCCTGCTTGTGTGTCCTGTCATCCGGTTGCTCAAGCGCTCACTAAGAGGATAGTACAGTGTGAGAATATGACTGGCATACCCTTGGCCTTCAATACTTCAATCCCTAGTCGGGCTCATCATCTCCTGCGCTTGACGATCCTCACGCCGACGCGCACTCCATGGAGTATTGACAGGCGGTGGTATAGCTGCCATTTGTGCCGAGTTATTGTGGCGAAGGCGGGCAAAGGACGGCAGTGTAGTGGCATAAGTAAATTCAAGCCATCTGCATGGATATGGAAAAAGTGTCCGCTGTGCAGAACGTGTGGAGCGAGGGCCTCCGAGCTTGCAGAGGAGGAACGCGCACTGGCAGTGGCTGAGGGCGCCGCGTCAGACTCAAGAGGTCGGGCAGCGCTCGGTGTTCGTCTCTCAGCCAATGAGATGTCATCTTTGTCTCATCCAATTGTCTGCCGTGTGAAAATTATCGACGCCTCTTGTAGAGTAGATGACCGTTCTACATACTTAGTCTCCCCTAGGCAGACCCTAAAGAAGACCTCTTTGAGTGGGGGAGAGGACGGTCTTCTATGGCGTTCTACTGCCTTGAAGTATTTTACTACTACACTCAGTGTTTTTATAAGAGGCTTCCCTACTAGTACGACAGTCAAGCCGCGCCGCGTATCGAGGAGGACTCGGAGGTCATCCCATACTGTACTAGCTTGGGATCTCTGGTTGGCATGGAACCGGGACAGTCAAACTACCATGTCGCCGTACGTCGCCATTCTGGCCGCGCGGCCTGGGCTACAGTTGACCGGTGACTCGGACTGTAACATTCTATAAGCTTCTGTACGTGAAGATATCCTCACGATAGATGCAGTCAGTCAAACAGTGCTGGGCGACACTTCGAGGCTGTTCGATCCGACGAACAAGGTGATCTGATTCTGAGGACGCACATCCGGCGCATGCCATGTTCTCTAAGGCAACTACTCATCCTACTCGCCGGCGTGTTCTCGACATTCTCTTGGTGTGGCGCAACGTTTGACATGACAGTGTAGATAGGTATGTGCAACCTTTGGCCGTGCACCAGCCGCGTGTGCAATGGCATCCTTGACATATTGATGACCTCTGCATATAGGCTGCGTAATGAAGCACGTCCGAATGAAATGAACAGCTTCTGTACATGTTGGCATCTCGAAACCTTGTCGCTTTCGAATCCTCGGATCCCACATGCAGTTCCTCCGAGTCGCTGAGCTCTGTTCAAAATTCGGAAGCATCCCAATATGCTTCTGCACCGCGTGGACGTCATGACGATGTCAGGCACAATACTTAAATGGGTCCCGAACATCGAAGTACATTGCCTCTGTCCCAGGATGACATATATGAACGATGAACGCCGTGCGTGCTGTGTGAGCACTGCAAACATACTCCGCGCGCCCCTTACATCCCTCCACCGTGACCTCACGGATTCATGTTGCTCTACGATGTCCACTCTCTCTTTGTTGCAGAATATCTCACGGGTTCGTTGCTCTTGTCAGCAATTATCTGCGCATTCTTGAGACTTACGCAACATACAGCCGCCGCACTTACGCTCTCGCTCTGGGATCATGCCTTGACGTTCGGGAGGGAGGTCCAGCTGCTCTGGCGCTTGCCTTTGTCTCCCCTGCAGATGCTCCTGCTCGTCAACCGGTACGGCGCGGAGATAAGCATGATCTTCATTGCTTCGAGTAAGTCCTGTCAATGCAACGAATTATGATCCGCCGTGCTGAGAACGTTGTCTATACAGATATCGGCTGGGGCATGCCATTAGTGACTGTTATGGTGCGTACTAGGCTGAGCATCTTTGAACAGTATGACTTCACTAGGATTACTCGATATCAATCAATTCTAGAGGTTCGTCTTTGTTTATGTCCTCTTTACGATTGCGAAATTCATTCTATGATTGCGTAGATGTGAAGGTATATCGGTGCTCATCACAGTGTACTGCATCATCAATAGCGCATCTTCACAATGTGAGTCAGAACAGAGTTAACGTAACCGTTATTTATGTCTCACTCGCAATGTTGCTCTAGTCTCAATCCTCTTTTACTTGTATAAGCTTTTCGACAGTAAATGCTTATATAGAAGGGCTCTCGTGGGCGGCTTTATCGTATGTTTCTCTGTCTCCATCACGTTTGGTATTCTGAGCGTCAGGCAAACATTTGGTGTGTGAATATTTCCCTAAGTATTCGTGCTCTTCACTGATGATCCCTACATCCTAGATATGCTTCGGCATTCGAATGACATATTATGTGTCGAATCATTGAGACGCGAGCTCGCGATAGGTATGTGGAGTGGCATGGTGAGCTATCATTCTCTGTCGTACACGAACATGGTACGCTGATGATAACCTTGGGAACAGGTCGCGTATGACATTTTCGTGTTCTTGCTGCTTGTCGTCAACGCAATACACCAGCCTCGGCGACGCGATTCTGAGATCGTCAACCGGCTGCTTCATGGAGGCGCCTTCGTGTTCTTGGTACGAGTCTCCGGCCTCTACGTACGTTGATATGCTCACTGATGTCTTAGGCATGTTTTGGTTCGTCTAAATCTTTTGATGATCGAGGCCTAACTTTTGAGATTAGGATTAGTTCTCCGTGTCTCTCAGCTCTTATCAAGTGTCCTAGCAGCGGTAAGTTTTCGCTATCCGAGTCATTGATCCTTGTTAATGACACATTGATATTGTTTCGTCGCTGCAGGGAGCGCAGTCATTACTCATTCCGTTGTGAGTTTCTGCGCCGTATGGAGTGACTGTAAGAGATATAGCTCACAGACACCCGACAGGCTGGCTTGGTCGTTAGACGGAATCCTGACGTATCGCCTTCTGCTGAAGGTCAAGGCTGTCGAACTGGTTGCAGAGGGGCAACTCTCACGCCTGTTGAACGTCGGCGACGGACCCTCCATCCAGTTATACCATGAAGTGCACGTACAGGACAGATGAAGGTATGTCAATTTCATTCATCGTGTACTGTAGTACACATTTCAGACTGACAGTGACGAGGCTTCGTACTCTCCTCAGTTCCACGGCGACTCGTCCCCGATGTATTTATGCGCTCCCAAAGAATATCTCTCTCGGATGTTTCACGGTGTATTTGTAGCCCGGATACCACAACTCGACGACTCGGACATCATGTACTTACTAGTAGCTGGACTCGGATGCCAGTGCCCCCGACGTAGCAAGGCCGTCCATCACTTCCTACTAGCGCTTGTGGAATTGAGGAATACGGCTATTCTCATGTCGCTAGTGACTATCCCTATGTTAGCCAAATCTCAGGCAGCCTCAGGGCTCAGGCCTCTGCAGCGCGCCATTCCGCGCACGCGAGGAACGAGCGTGCGCCACCATCCCGCGCGAGGGACGAGCGTGCCTCCCCGACCATATATTCCTGCATGCGAGGGACGAGCGTGCCCTCCCCGACCATATATCCCCGCCGCGGCGGCGCGCGAGCGTGCCCGCCGCCCGCCACGTCCATATCAGGACGTGACCATATCCGGCCGTATCCAGCGCCTACGACACGCGATCACGCAAACTGCCGCAGACTGCCGCGCGCGACCCACACCGCCACCACCCGCATCCCTCGCCGTCGCCCCGTCACCCACGCCGCCCCGCATCCGCTGTTGTCCGCGGTGCCACCGTCCCGCAGCGCCGCATGGAGGGCGCTGCGGGACATAGGACCAATGTCCCCGCTGTCGACGAGTCCCCTCTGTGGCCACCCGCCGCTGCCCCCACCTGCGCTTTGATCGTCGCCCACGTCAGTCCCTGCCACCCCCGCTATCCGCGCGGCCGCCGACTGTTCCCCGACGACTGCCACTCGGTCGTCCTACGTGCGCTCGCCGACGCCGCGTCGAAACCCCGCAAAGATTCCCAAGCGGTCCTAGGGAGTCCTGCGTGCCGCGCGTGGTGACGTAAGCATCGCCTTGTGAACCGTCCCTGCCGCCCCTGCCAGTGCGCACCGTGGTCCCCGTCTGCGCCCGCGCCCCCGCGATCATGGCGACATCCCGCAAAGACTCCCAAGGAGTCCTCGGGAATCATGCGCGCGCAATGTCGTCGGCTTCGGCCGTCCGCCCCAGCCCGCACTCTGCCTGCGCGCACCGTGCTGACAAAATGCCGCCGCCCGCCACCCTGCCACGCCCTTCTTGATCCACAACCACCACTATCCCGCTCCATCCTTCCTCGCCGGCGCGATTGCGTCACGGTCGTGCCCCTTTGTCAGTCCCGCCCGCCTTCGTTTCGCGGCACACCCTTCCCACCCGTCGCTACCATTGCCTTCGCCGCCGGTAGACAGTACCGCACGACTTCGACCTGGAGGCTCCACTCGTGCACGAATGTCGTGCACGAAAGGTCGGCCAAATCGGCCATAGTGATCGTCCGGGGTCACTCCTCCGCACAGTCATCTTTTCTGGCCAAGAGACCACACGAGAGGTCCGCACGCGGACTCGAGCATGCCAACGTAGACACACCAAATCGCTGTAAAAAGGCGCCGCTCAGGCTTGCCACGGCTTAGTTGCATCCGCAGCGGGCAGGCGTGGCTTGAGCAGGGTGTGGAAGCTTGGTCCGCTCACAGAACCTCTCGCGCGAGTCCTTCGAGTTCAGCAATGGCGAGCACAAGCTACCGGGTGTCAAGTATGCTATCGGCGGTCTCGGCAACCAGACGTACGAGCACTACAACCCCATCGCGAAGAACGTCGACCGGGATCGCGAAGAACGTCGACGGGCTCTTGGGGGCGAGGGTGACGACGACAAGAGCATAGAGGAGGACTCTGGAGTGGACTGCATGAACCTCGAGGAGGGCGGTGACACTCCCGACTTTGCTGTCACAGAAGACCCGCTTGAGAAGGTCTGCCTCGGTAAGTCGGCGCGGCACATCCATTTCTTCCGTATCTGACTCCGTCCAGGTGTATTGTCTTTGAGGATGTGCACGACCCCTCTTTGACGAAGCAGCCGCATCGCGCGGGTCCCGAATCGCGCGAGCCGTCCATCCCTATCGCAAGCATGGTGCGCCTCTTCGCGCCAGTGGGCCTGCCGTCGGCGCATCAACCCTGTTACCGCCTTTGCGTCTGCCCCCCGTCGCCCCCCGCCACCCCGCCCTTCGATCGTCGCCCGTCGCCCCACCGTCGTCCTCCTGTCCCTAGCTCTCATCGCCCTGATCCCCGCCATCGTCCTCCCTCTCCCTCCCTTCTGTTTGCCATCGCGGCCCTCACATTCGCCACCCCGTGTGCGAGCCGGAGCCAGAGCGGGTGCAGTGCATGGTGGCGGCGCCCGCGCTCTCTCGCCACCACGAGAGAGCGACCGCCCGCCACATCCGCCCACCCCTTCCTCCCCACGACTCTTCCCGCCGCCTCCACGCTGTCTTTGACCGGTGTTTCCTCGCGTGTACAGCCACCAACGTGTCTGTGCACGCCCGCCCTTCACAGAGCGCCGTTTGTTCATAGAGTAGCTGTAAGGATTCCGTATGCACAAATGACATCCATGTCAGAGGGACTCTAACCCTAGCCTCGGGGTCCCCTTGCGCGCGCGTTTCGAGCCCACTACATCGTATTGGAAGCGGCTCGGGATGGCGAGCATTGACCAGGGCTTTGGGGAGTGGCTGGCGACGTGCCATCCGAGACGTCGAGCACGAGATGTCGGGCACGAGAGAGACCCTGAGAATGGTCCTGGCACATTCGTCAATGCCTTCAGCCTCAGGGCTGCAGCGCGCCATTCCACAACGCGCAACGGGCCCTAGGCCTGCTTGTGTCGGAATTTTCCTTATATAGAAACACACAGCGCTGCCAGTGCCACTTTGCACAGGCGCCGGGCCGCCTCTCTCTTGACCCACCATGCACTGATGCAGTCGCTGTTCTGTCAATACTGGGAACGACCGATAGCAGTTACCTCCCGTTGCGGAAGTAGTACTTGCCGATCTTGCTTTGCGTCGAACGAGGCTTTCTCGAGTTGCGGTTCCATCAATCCTCGACCGCGTCAAACCCCCAGTCACGGCAGTACTAAATATTGACACGCACGCCGATCTTAGGTCTGAACGTTGCAGCCAGGTGTTGTTCTCCGAGAGCATCAGCAGGCATCAGCATACGTCAATGGTAGAAACGCGGCCAAGACGACTCGGATGTCTTGCGGACGTCCATAACTTCAGCATAGCTGCCGAACCACTAGTACGTACACTGTACAGCGCACTCAATATGGCGCCGGTCGATGTTCACTCACGCGTTACAACTGACACCTCATCTTCCTTGCCTGTACCTATGTATGTAACAAGCCGAGAAATGAGCGGCGGCTATAGAACGACCACCGTACGGAAGGCCGCTGGGAAGTACGTTACCGTTACGGTCGCAGGAGAACTCTCTGCAACACCCTTGCTTCCGACTAAGTCAGGATGCCAACGTACGTTGTTACGGGAGCAAGCAGGGGTATCGGGCTGGCGATAGTTGAAGAACTGGTGCGTCGCGTCCCTATTACCATCTCTAGACTGAGTCGCATCGGCATCCGCAGCTGACAGACAAAGATAACGTTGTCATCGCCGCTGTGCGGAATCGTGCAGCCAGGAGTTGGAGAATTTCATTCGAAGCATCCCAATAGCCCTCTAGAGACCATTCATCTGGACCTCGCGGACCCCACCAGTATTCGTCGCGCCGCAGCCGACGCCTCGGACATTCTCCAGGGTAGCTTGGACTATCTGATTCATTGCGCTGGCGTCAGCGTTCAAGATCTCACGCCTTTCGAAGAGTGTAAGTCTCATGATTAATGCAGAGAGAGTCGGAGCTCAGACGCGCGTCGCGCTTGCAGGGACCTGAAACTTCATGAAGAGCAACTTCGCCTCAATGCCGTTGCACCCCTCGAGGTGATGCGCTCGTTCCTTCCTTTGATAAGGGAAGGGACGGCCAAGAAGATCATGCTCCTCTCATCGGGACTCGGATCTTTGCAGAATGCCCCTTACCTGCCGGGATACTGTGAGAGCTACTCGGTGTCGAAGGCTGCTTTGAATATGTGCGTCCCCGGGTTCACCGCTCTGTTGTCTGGGACTCATGACCTGACAAGGCTCGCTCGCAAATGGGGTGCGTCGCTGAGCAAGGAGCGTATCACGACCATCCTGGTTCATCCGGGTACGTCTTTCAGTTCGAGGAGGCATCCACGACGTGTTATGTAACTCAGCTGCCTGTTCGCTCCTAGGTTGGGTCGACACGGATATGGGCAACTCGACCAAAGAATGGATGGCAGAACGTTTCCCACAAATCAAGCAGATCTCGCGGTCGGCATCCGCGACTGGATGCCTCCAGGTCCTGACTCATGCGAAGCCGAGGACGCAGTGGGCTACTACGCTTGGGATGGCTCGCGATTGCCTTGGTGACGTCATCGTCGAGCTGTTGATGTTCACGGTAGCACGGTCGAACTCGAAGAGATACTCGAAAACGTGTCAGCTGTGGCTTTTGAATATGAATACCGGTACTCCCGGAGCTGAGTGCTACAGTATCTCATCATCTAAGCTCGACTACCAGGTGAGTGATCACGGAAAGCAAGGCACCTTGTTCACACCGACCGTATGTCGTGGTTGATGGTACTTATACCTCAGCAGCACGATACCACTTCAACTACTAATGCAAGGGGAATCCGTTTGCTGAAAGTCTGCAGCTCGCCGTTACGTGTCCCCTCCACCCTATGTCACGAAGCGGGTAAATTCCACCTGCTCCACGTCGCATGCACACAGGATCTGTCAGTGCGAAGCTCCTATCCGATCATCCGACTCATCGGACATCTGCTAATTATTGATCCATGTCACCTAACTCGGCGCGCAGTGAGTAAGTAACCGCCTACCGGAAGAGCTCTCATATCGCTCCTCCTCATCAATGCGGTGCCGCTTTGTGAGGCACACTGATTAATGTGCCGCTGCATGATGGCCATGACGTGATTCGACGCAGTTTATAAGTCGTGCAACGTTCCTCACTCACCGCAAGTCAGCCTTGATACATTCCCGAACATGCCGTCTTTCCTTGTTATCGGGGGAAGCAGAGGGATTGGGCTTGCACTTGTTGAGGAATTGGTGAGTGCTTTGACCTCGTCGTCTCTAGAAATGCCACTTTACTATTGTGGTGGTAGCTGAAGGACCCAAGTAACTTCATCGTCGCTACAGCACGAGATCTTAAACGGTCTCCTGGCCTGCAGAGTCTCACATCTACGTACCCGGAAGCACGACTCGCAGTTCTTCTTCTGGACTTGGCGTCCAAAGAAAGTATTGAAAAGGCTGGAGAGCAAGCGGCGACTCTGCTTCCAAACGGATTGGATTTTTTAATCCACAATTCGGCCATAATCTTCGACCGGTTGGCCCATTTGAAGAGATGTACGCAGTGGCTTGTCTGGGACATGTCGCCGTATCTGATGCCTTTCTGTTGCAATGTAGCGACCTTGACCAACTCGAAGAGGAACTGCGCATCAATACAATAGCTCCCATCCGCGCTGTTCGCACCTTCCTTCCCCTGATCCGCAAGTCGAAGGCACAAGACAGGAAGATAGTCTTTATCAGCTCCGGTCTCGCATCAATCGAGAATGGCCACTTCTGGACGGGACTCAGCGAAGGCTACTCAATATCGAAAGCCGGCTTGAATATGTAAGAACATGCGAAAATGCACCGATCGACGCACACTTACAGACGCTATGCAGGGTTGTTCGCAAGTGGGGAGTCGCTCTGAAACTGGAAGGCATCAACACCATGGCCTTGCAGCCGGGTATAAAGATCTTCTCTGCTCTCTGACCATGTCTGACAGTCTTTGTAGGTTATGTCGACACAGACATGGGGCAAGGCCTGAGTGCATGGATTCAGGAACATGCAGCGTGGGTGCCGATGATGAGTCCGAACGAATGTGCGGTGCAATGTCTCAATGTAGTCAAGGAAGCCAAGCTGGAGGACGCGGTAGCATTCTACGGGTTCGATGGCACCCGAGTACCGTGGTGATCTCAAGGCAGGCATTGAGATATCCATGTTTGAGTTCGGTTAGGGGACACGCTATTGATAGCACGCATATGTATTGTTAACAGGACCCTTTAAACATGCGAAGTGGTACAACGACGTGACAGTAATGCAGCACACTCAAACACGGTACGTAGAATAGTCCAGAACGGGGCATTCGAGAGTGTAAGATGCTCGTAGACGTCGACAGCGCACATCGACCTACTCGAACCATGCGCGGTATCAGGCAGAGTCTGTGTCCTCACTGACGGGCGCCGTTTCTTCGACTACGTCGCTAGACTCGGAAGCAACGTCCAACTCCCTGTCGTCATCGGAGTCCGTGCCGCTCGCCTCCCCAAAGTCGTCATCGCTGTAAATCTCTTCGACTTCGCCTAGCTGTCTCTCACCAAACTTCCCCACGTCCACGACGACACATAGGTGCGCGTACTCATACCCTACAGAAGGCTCGTTGCCGTACGCGATGAAACGACTCTTGAGGTTGGCATCGCGCTTCGGTCGCACAACCCAGCGCACGAGGACGTCAGGCTTCGACAGCGAATTGGTTCTGTACTCCGGTGGAATAGGGGTCACGAGACGACCGCCCATGTCCCGTAGGTGGTAGCGCATCGGTCCGTCGAGCATGTCGCTATGGGTATCAACCAGGCGGTCCAGCATGATATACGCGACATATACCACGTCTCTGCCTCCTTTCCTGATGGTCATGTCGGTGTCCTCGACCAGGAATTTCAGCGAAGACTTGAGACCGAGGTCGGTGCAGACTTTCATGATAACGGCATCACCGCCTTTCAGACACGTCTGCAAGTCGCAGCATCTGGCGTCCATCCTCCTCCTGAATCCAGTCCTCCAACTCGACAGGGTAGCGGTGGCTGAGGCCGAAGCCTAAGTGACCGCCCTTAGGAAGAAACGTGGGGTCTTCCAATAGGCGCTGCAATACTGCCTTTAGATCTGGCCCGAAGGTAAAGGGATGTGCGGGAGGCAACGGGGGCTGAGATGGCTTGAAGTAGAGGTTGTACGTTATGGTAATGCGATAGCCGGACTTGACCTCGAGTACCTCATGTTCGACGTCGCTGAAGAAGGCGATGTATGCCAGACAAGGCTGTTCGGATTGCTGGTTGGCGAGGATCTTGGACGAGTCGAATGTCCATTCCTTGCCCTCGTGACGAAGCACTAGAGTGCCACCTTCGTGTGGGGAGGGATACACGACCACGAGGGAGCCGAACATATAGCACTGCGGGGAGTATCCTGATGCGCTTTGAAGAATGAACCTGGCCCTGGAGAACGTCACAGGTTCACTGTTGGTCAGCCATCGAAGTGGCACGACCGGGCACCGATCGACGTACCGTACACGTTCAGCTTGTACAGTTCCGCACGGACAGACGGGCTATCTCTATCCCTCTCCATCAGCTCCGTCCCAATGATGTCCAAGAGTCCGGAGCGTGTAGGATCGAACTTCGGAGAGAAGTGCTCTGCATCGAGTTTCCCTGCCTTTCGGTACGATTCGTCGTGGACGTCTTTCTGGTTCACGCCAAACGTCGCGATGTCGCATGACTGTGCGACGTGCTCGATATCTTCCTCTCCGGCCTGAGCGAAGTTGATACGCCTACTCACGTCAAGCTGGCGTCAGATCCTAAAGTGACTAGGCTCACCTCGCATCACTGTCCTTTCCATAGAACATCGTGAGATCTTGAGCGGGTAGCCTTAGGGTGCCGCTACAGTACGGAGGCTTGTCCTGGATGCAAGCCGCGAGAGTAGAAAGCTGTTCCTGGAGCGTAGACATGGTTGAGAAAGCGGGTGTTGTCCGGTCTACGATGGATGGTGCTAACCTATGCAGTGCCTCATACCGCCTCGGCGTATTATACTCTTGAGGTCCATTACGAAGTCCGCTGTACTGGGTGTGAAGAGAGTTATAGTCATTCTGGCCGAATTTGGAACGCACTTCGCTACGGACGATGATTGGCACTCATCCAAATGGGGTCACTCACCGAACATGCAAGCGACGGAGCATGTGAGAACAGAGCTCATCGAAGCCGTCAACATGTACCCACAGTAACTTCCTCGCGACGGGCAAAGATGCTGAGAGCCCTGGTATCGGATCACAGGAGTCAATGGAGGTGTAGAAGTCGCGGAGATGTACTGCACCTGACACCGCTACCAACTGCATGCAGCCCTTCCCGATGGCATGTCGTGGAGATTAACAACGAGAATGCTGATTTACGTCAAGTCAGCTTGCGATGAGCCGATTAATTGAACAGATTCTCTGTAGCCGGATCATTTGCGCCATATTCAGGATATCTGACTTCGGGTGAGATCAAGGTGAGACACGGTCCACGGATTGGCTGAGTTCCGCCCTAAAGTGTCCAGGTTGACTTCCGCTGACTGCATGAGGTCGCATAGACTTCTCGGCATGACTCTCATCGCAATAATACCGATGTGACGATACTCAACACCTAGGTCAGAAGACTGAGTCAGTCAGTCCGTCTTCATTTGCGATTATCTGATCCTTTAGCGAACATCATGGGCTACACGGAGTTTTCGCAGAATGGCGAACAGCAGATCGTGACGACGCAATCTGGAACCTCCCGTAGAACAGTTTTGCGAAGATGCGCACGAGATGAGGGTGTCCTGTCGCATCCTTGACCTGAAGACACATCATTATCAGGACCATCACACTTAGTTCGCAGAGCCGGTAGCGTGAATCCTCACCTTTCATCCGCCGCCGCAATCTTGGTACAGTTGTGGGTATGACATCCACCTTGGCGCGTTTTATGGCCCGCAAGACGCCATCGTCTCCCAATGCGCGTCTGATCGATGCAGCCTTCTCGTTGGCCTGCACACTCAATTCTTCGAAAAGGGACGATGAGGATGGCGGAAATGAAAACGGGGTTACACATACTGATGATGCTGCGCGGCGTCAGCACTCCTTTGGAGGCGGAGATTCGGCTGATGACTCCGTGGGTGTCTGGGAAGACGGCGGAGTAGTGGGTCTGCTGGGAGACAGACATCCGGATGGAGTACAGACCGAAGATATCTCTGTGAGTATCGGGAAGGCTGAGGTGATCGTGTTAACGAGGATACTATAGGAAAGTGTGAGGACATCAACACTTACGTATTTGTGCCTGTCGCGCCCGTTGCTTGCGATCGAATTGCGACCATGTCCTCGAGCAGATCCCCGTCCCAACCGAGACCGACGCTTTGCGTATCGACCAGCCAAGCCTTCGCAGACCGCCTCGTGCCATTGCGTCCTCTGGCTGCATCCTCAGGGAGTCGATTTTTTGAAGGTGAACACTGCACGTAGCCATCCTCTGTGAGGGCGGAAGGCTCGAACATAGAAATCGAACAATGTATAGGACGGATGACTGTCGTCCGATGGATTGTCGGCCGATAGAGCATCTTCAAGTTATCCCGACAGAGTTTCCGTTAGGGCGTCCGCTCCACGAAAAACCAGAACGAGCATTGGTACATTCCCGCGTCTGCGTGTCGCAAGTACAGAGGTAGCACGGGTCCAAGTCGCCTGTACGCCTGGTATGCCACATTTTCTGCGACCTCGACGTCGCCATAACTCGCAGAGAGTTCTGGGAACTCCCGACGGTCCTCCTGTACATCGACGATGTCAGAGTCAATAAGGTGAGTATCTGGAAGCATACTCACGGAAATTGCGCTGGAATGCGCTTCAATGATACTCCATCCAGCTCGTGCTCTGGCTCACGTCCCTCGATTTCGGCACATGAGATATCTTGAAGATCACACTCGGCATCGCTTGTCTCCTTCGACCATTCTGCTAACTTCAGGACTTTCCGGAAAACATGTTCAAGAAAGCCGAGGTAGTAGATATACGCAGCGATTGGTGAGGGAGACGTAGCGCATGCAAGGAGGTGCTCCCGCAGCTCGGGAGCATCAGAGTGACGACTGTCACTGTCGGCATTTGAAGGGGCCTCGAGGTTGAACGACAGTATTACAGCTGAGGGTTGATACATCCCCGTTATCCGATCTGCGAGGTCGGCGTCTTGACATTGTAGGGCCATGATCATATGGTTATTCAGATCGTCTTTCAGCTCACTGCCGCAGATCGCATAGAACCACGGGCTAACGTCGCCGTCGTCGTCGACGTCGTCCGAGTCGATGTTCCATGACCTGATGTGAACTGTATGTATGAGCCCATGACTATCATCACGCGAAGCATCACATACCGCACTCTGAAAAGAAGACGTTTCAATGGGCGTGGCGCTACCTCGACTGTGATCGTGTCTACATACCGTGCGCAAAATCATGTTGCATAGGCTTCACCTCGAATAGCTCCAACGGGTCTAGTAGGAATTGCGGTGAAGGTCCTAAAATCTATTCAGCAACTGTTCCTGAGAAGAGATCATCATCTACTGACTTTTGTCATCCGACTCTTGCTCTTCTAAAGCTTCCGCAGATGCTCCTCTATGTTCGCTGTCTATCGGGCTTGGATCATTATCATCACAAGCAGGCGACAGCTCAGACTTTGAGGGAGTTGTGCTACGCAACGGGGAACCAGACATAGCTCAAACACCTCGTGTAGTTCGCGTCGCGTTATGTGCGTCAATATGGTGAGAGCCTTCCGACGAGCGCAAATCCTGGAACTGCTTGCGTCGCACTGTATGTCCGTCGAACTGTAAGTTATACGCGAACAAGCTCGCACGCGCCCGGGGGCACTCACGCGTCGCCAGCCGCACAGGTGCCGCACGCACAGGCTGTGCCCTCCATTCTAGCTTGCATCAGATCCGAGACAACTCGAGGCACCTAAGCGCTACGCATTGAGAATCGCAAGAAGCAAGTTCTACAGAGGCGGAGATCCTAGGAATCGATAGCGCATCTATCCGATGTCCTGGTACGGCATGCCAAACAAGGTGACATGACTGAATGCGAGGGTGCGGTTATCGTAACATGCGGCCTGCAGGTGCGTATTGGAGTCAGCAAGAGCATGGCAGAGAGAAGGATGCGTGAAAGACTTGCCTGCTGCCGTCGTGGATGTACAGTGGCCCAGCCAGGCGAGCTGGCAGGCTCGCGGTTGAGTTGGCAGCGCATCCGCACGAACTATCCTATCTACAGCTGCAGCTCAAGCACTCAGTACTCAGGTCCTCCTCAGAACATTCAACACGAGGAATTGCACGGTACTCACCGGCGAGAGCGGTAGGAATAGCCTAGCTGAACGATAGGCTTCCGGCGAAGTCAGCAGCAGCGCTAACAATATAAGGGACCATGCCGTATATATAGTGGCAGTCTGTAGGCCAACAAGGGTAGATGAGGTCTCCGGAGACAACTGTTGGACAACTGCATGGAACGTCTCGAGCCACAGTGACACTGACAGTACAACAATAACATTACTGTACGTACGCTCGTGTCACTGTAGTCGTGGGAACGTTACCCCTTTCCGACGCTCGTCAACGAGTCGTCGCAGGTCGTCGCTTCTCGTCTGGCGTGCTCCGTTCGGGACCCTCACATGCAGTACAACTACAAGTCAGCAGCCATGGCATTTTGCGCGTCGTGTACACCAACACAGTCATTGACGCTAGGAAGACAGCCGGTTGACGTTCGGAGGCCATTCTTTGGATGAGTCTGTTACCAGTGAGTGTGACGCGGCGTACTGAAGTAAATATTGTGGCAGAAAAGTATGACTGTATGTTGCCTTCGAATTCTGCTGCAACTCTGTTGATGATTTTGCGAACGAGGTGTCGTGCCGTACACGTTGTAGGCAAGGTCAGACGACTAGACAACTCGAAGTCATCAGATGGATCACACGTCAATACGTTCGCTCCGAGTCTAGGTTTCCTGACGTTCGAAGTTTCGTCAAGCTTTCGCATTGTGCATTATGCTGAGTGTCCTTCTGACTGGTTGTGTCCACAAAGTCCTACGACTCCGCCAGCGCAACATTACCAGGTAATGTGCAACTTGACAATTGAATCTTCCAACTCATCTAATCCTCTCTGCTTCTCAGGCGTTCAGTGTTCTGAATCAGCGCTCGGCCCTGGGCTGCCTAACGGCTGGCTGACTAGCTTCGCGTTGGTGTTGGGCCGTCGTAAACAAGTGGATGACAATTCAGGAGGCATTCGCGCAGGCAACGACTGTGATATTCGCGCGATGTTATGGCTGCGTAGCTCACCTTACCTCCTCGCCTGTGCCATCCTCCTGGTGGGGTCATTGACGACGATGAATTCGACGAGGCTGCCTCGGCTTGGTATCCGCTTCGAGTGTCTACCCGACAACTTGACCAGTACTGTTCAGTGAGACAAATACAGCCTCATCTTGAACGATCGGGGGATAATCTTTCAGTACGTTGTTAATCGTTGCCGCTGATTGAGGCTAACGGGCCAATTTAGTGCGCGAGAGTTCCACACATGGCGCCTACCGGTGCCTAACTGACCTGCAGTGGTTAGACGTCTTCCAGAAGATGGTCTACATGGCGCCAGCGCGTGCTTACACGGTGAACTTCGTCGCAACATGTATGCTCTGGATAGTTGATTAGACGTGCGACAGGGGGCCTGGTCAACCCTGCACAGGGTGTACTAGAGTTCGATAACTGACGAACTTAGCAACCCATCTCCAATGCGGCAAAACAAGCTGGAACGCTTCTGTTTCAGCGTCCGTGCCGATGTGGTTGGCTGTCTCACCGACCAGGAATTATTCTGATTTTGTACCATTGTGATAGGTCCATATATGAGCTACAACATATCGTGTCGTTGATGCATGGCATGAACGATGAACGGCGAGTCGACAATTGGAGCCATCTCTCATTGGGCTATGACTCAGGGCTGCTTGATCAACGAGGCTCAAAGTAAGCACATCCATGCTGTTCTCGAAGTTGTCTTGAGTACATCATTATGTAGCACCGCTGCAGTGGCCCTCTGGACGCTGAAAGACGAGCCTGTGGCACCGACTCTAAGGTTCGTCGTGAATAGCCTCCTCGCAGGTGGAGTGAAATGTGTCGGCGTCGATGATTCGATGTGGATGTCGCGTTCTGAGTCAACGTGATAGTGCATCCGGTCTGAGATTCTGAAATCGGTGAGTTATCGGTTATCGTGGCGCGTTTATATACCTCATTGACCTTTTCCTTTGCGGCATTTGGAATGACCGCGCACCTATAAGGCGTACGTCCTTCGCCTGCGCAGGTTTCGACCTGGCAGCTCGTCGCCCGCGCAATCTAGCCATCGCCCATTGCTTCGGCTCCAGCGTCACAGGTCATGTAATGGACCGTGCGGGGGAGCCGCTGCATATCACAACATCGATTCAAGCGCTGTGAACCCACGCCAAGTGGCTCTGGTGGCAGCGCGTCAAAAAAGGAGGTAAGGAGGAGGTCCGAGGAGGAGGGTATTCCATCTAGTCATGACATCCAGACGCATTGGCGTTTTCGGTGTGTGACAGCGTCCACTAGGTACATGACGGTCCCCGACTACTGTTGTGCCTCTCCGCAGGGCCTCACCTGTCAAGATGTGTCAAGACGCCAGATCGGCGGAGTGCACACGCTGGTCAGCGTTGAACGCTGCAGGAAGACAATGACCGGGTCTGCAATGACCGCTGGCGTAACCTTCGCATTGTGTCGCATTCTGTACGCTTATGCAGGTAAGTCAGAAGATCACTTTCTATGTCTTATCTCGCGGACGTGCGACTGGTTATTTCAAGGTACTAATGATCTTCAGCCTATCTATACTCGCTCTGACGGTAGAGACGGTATATCTTATTGGCAGGTACTGGTGTCGGATAGCAGTACAAGACAACGCTCTGGAGGCTCTACTTAATCGAGCCCATGTTCTCCGCTATCATGGCAGGTACGGAACCGCACCCTTGGCATGTCTGGGCCACGCTTCCTTCGCTGATTGGCTTCCAGCCACACCTAGGTTCATACACTGATGCATGGCATTCAATGATACCGACTCTGAACGCTGAAGCCACAGCACTCACTCCGTGCGCAAACGGCCGGCCTTCCCCTCCAACGTACACAATGACAGCTACGTGCGCTTATGTTTGTGATGATGCCGTGTGGGCGTTTGATGGCCTTCTCACAATACCACTAGGCCTCGTGTTAGCATCTCCCGGACTGACAAGAACGCAGGTGCTGTGGTCTACTGTCTTTATATAAGCTCCATGCGATGTGTACTGAAGGAGTCATCCGTTCCGATCCTACCCTCTTCACATGATGAGAAGCTTTCCGATCGCAGAAGCACAGCTGGCTGCGCTGTTTATGCAGAGCATTGCATATGGTATGCACGCAGTGACATTCGCGGCATGCATATATACCTGGTTCCACCAATCGTACAGTTCCGGAGGGCGGATGTCAGGTCGCTGGCTTTGGATGTTCGTCGCCGTCGCTTTCTTCGTGATCGGTACCTGCGACGTGTCTTTCAATTTCTACCACAACGTCATCGCCTTCATCGTCTACAAGGGCCCCGGAGGTGCAAATGCGCAATTTGATCAATTCTCTAATTGGGTCAATTTCATGCGGGTCCGTATACTTCTCATCTGTACGGCTACTCATGCATCAATCGGAGCATACAGAATCTTCTTTTTGATATCAATGTCGCAGTTTCCGACGCTGCCTTGGTGAGTATTCCCGCAGCGGTCTATTGCTTGGTCCTGTGCTCGACAAAGGCATGCATGTTGATGGTTGACTGCAGATCTATCGCTGCTGGCTCGTGTACACAGAATCACCACATAGGACAATCGTCGGGATCGTACCAGCTATACTATGGCTGGCATGGTTATCCATCGCAATCGTACTTCTTTATTACGCCGTGACCCTGAACACGGCAACGTCGATCCCAGGAACTCTCGAAATCCAGCCTTTCGTCTATGCGTTCTACTCGACGACGTTAACAATCAATGTGTTCACAACGGGTACGTTGACCTGGCATTTCCTCTACTTCATGTAACTGATCTGGCTGATCGTCAATAAAAGGCCTTGTCATTGTCAGACTCTGGAAATTTCATAGGCGTAATGCAGAGCTATTCTCGCGAAGCTGGCGAGTCCCAGGCCGAATGGACTGGGCTCGGTACACCTTGATCATAGTGGAGTCGGCCCTTCTGTACACGGCGACTGTCGTCACTTGCATTGCGCTGGATCTTGTGGGTACGAATGCGTACTATGGCATGACAGACATTGTAAGTGAAGACTCAGAGTGGAATCGGCACTTATACAACTTTCCTCTGACACATCCGATTTTGCAGAGTCTAGAAGCTGCCGGTATCACCTTCGACCTCATCATTATACGGATCTGGACGGGAGTATCAACAGAGCAGACTCAAGCTTTCATGGATACGGTGCAGCATGCATCCAAAGTGGTGGCGACTGCGCACGATGAACAAATCAAATCTGCTCCGTCAGCTTTCACGGCCCGGGATGTAAACACCTTGGACCTGACCCAGGCCCTCCCCGGTGATCATGACGATCAACTGGAGTGGCAGAGGAATGGCTCCGGAAACCATGTATGATCGTTCAGACACAGGCCGCATATTGCTAGACCACTGACTGTATTCATGATGGTGTACTTCGACTTTCGATTTCGGTAGGAGAAAACTGTACAATTAGAACTCGTGTCGTTCAAATCCCTCCAGGATAATCAAGCAAATATGGCCGTCGAGATGTACATATGTTACGACTTACGTGAAGTTAATGAACCGTAACCCTGAGGACGACTGGGCGAACAAACAAGTACAAAGACAATGAAGTACTGCTTCTTCCTCCTCCCGCCGACCGCACGACCGATCATCGACATCGTACACATATACTCTTCGGAACTGCTGTATAAACAGGCTTGATAACTGAACCGCATCCGCATCTCGCCGGTCACCCCTGAAATCATGACTGGGCTTGCCGCGGCGTGAACACATGCACTGCAAGTCCTGTTGGCGCTAAACTACTGCTATGACAGTGTTGAGACCCACCAAGTTTGCAGTTCGGGGTCTGGTGTGAGTGGCTAGTCGGGACTCGTCAATGTAAGCATTCGGCCAGTGACTCTGAGCCTGAGGCTACTGCACACCAGCGCTAACGTCAATTTGCAGTCGGTGCAATGATCTCTCCGAGACCTTCCTTCCAAGCCCCAACGTTCGGTGCTGAATAGGCACAGCTTGTGACGGTAGTGTTCAGTCTATAAGGCCTCACTGTGAGTGTGTGTCTAACCAATGTTATGGTTCATCTTTGTCTTGGGAACTTTCCACCGACATCTTCCGTCGTAACGTTTGTCCGGCTGGTCGAACAGATGCACCTTGGACGCGCGCCTTCATGGTAGACAGTCCGTTCAAACGTCTACCAACTCTCACGTTGCCACATCGCCTTGTGGACAGAATCATTGAAGACTGACAGTGCGTCCACTGCCACGACGATACGTATATGAGCCTACATTCTATCGACGAGACCTGGGAAACCCGAGCCCGAGCCCTTTTCCCAGCGGTCAGGATGGGCGCATTCCCTATTCGGGACTGCTGCCTCATGCAGCGTAGCTACGGCGTACACTGACATTAGCGCTAACTGGATGCTGGCCCGTGGATGCTCGTCGCCTAGCCTTCTTCGTCTTCGGCACTTGCGACGTCTCATTCAACTTATACCACAACCTCATTGCATTCATATTCTATACGGGACCCGGTGGGGCAGATGCTGAATTTGACCGTCTGTCGACTTGGGTCAACGTTATGCAGGTAAGTTATGTGGCTGTCTTCGAGCTGGGTCCTGCGCGTTGCATGTCTCATTGAATTCTTCCAGAGTGTATAATCCGATCTCAATATCGCCTTATCTGACGCAACCCTGGTGAGTATTGAAGTGAAGATAGCCTTACCACAACCGAATAGGTCGATTAACACACGTTGGTAGATTTACCGCTGCTGGCTCGTGTACGCGCATTCGCCTCGTCGGGCAGTTGTGGCCATTGCACCCGTCGTACTTTGGCTGGGATGGATTTCTTGCCAATCATATCCTCTACTACATCTGCACCTTGAATGCAGTGACGTCTATACCTTCAACCGACGAGATCCAACCCTTCCTATATGCCTTCTATTCTTGACACTCGCGATAAATCTCTTTACAACGGGTATGTGCGCACACTCCATTTTTAAGCACGACCTAACTACTTACAGGTCTTATCATCCTCCGGCTCTGGAGGGTCCATAAGCGCACATCATCGTTCTTCACGCGGAGTTGGCGAGGACCGAGTCGTTTGAGTTTCGCAGACGTCACTTTGATTATCATCGAGTCTGCGCTCCTGTACACGACAACCGTCATCATCTGCGTCGTGCTGGACTTGGCGAATAGCAACGCGTACTATGGCGCTACGGATGTCGTAAGTCATCTACGTGGTCCTCTGCTGTGTAGCGTTCTGATATGATCTGTGCTTTGCAGAGCCTTGAAGTAGCAGGGATATCATTCGATCTGATCATTATACGGATCTGGACAGGCGTGTCCACGGAACAGACGCAAGCCTTCACGGATACGGTGGAGAATTTGTCGAAAATCAAGGCAGGAGCGAGCGAACAGGTCATCACCGCTCACTCGGGCTTCACGGACTTGAACACTTGGATTGTGGCTTCCCGTGATGATATGCCCAGTGGGGTGACGATGATGCGAACCCCGTCTGATGTGTCCTGGCGATCTCCTGGTCTTGTTGGTAATCCAACGTACCGTAGATGGTGACTATACTAGGAGCGAATAGATTGAGTCGACATTGACTATACGACGTTCGGCCTAGTAGTATCCATGCAAGAGCAACCCGACATGATGCTCGATGGCTTAGCTCAGGTCCGGAGAACCAGCTCTCGGCATTGCTTGATGAAGTCTCTGTTGTTGTGGCAGCTCAACCACACACGGTACATACGGCTGAGAATTCGCTGTAGATTTCAACTCGACGCTAGATTAGCGCGCAAAGTGTGGCGTGTGGCGAGCAAGTCGATTTGATCGAACCGTCATGAACCTGGGTCGTCGACTTCCTCTCATCTCCTCGCGCAAAGCCTCGAGTCGCAATAACACACGAGCGTCGACGTAATGCGAGTATTGGACTTTTCATCAACACATGGTGAATATCGCTGCAGAATGTTCACTGTAGTCCGAATACCGTGACTGCGTTAGCTCGTGTTCAACAGTTAGTTCCTTTAACCGCACATGTTCCTCGTCTAATCATCAACTTGAAGCGTGCTCACAGCGCGGATACATCGATAACGACCAAGTCCAGAAAGCGCAATGTGGTTACAACTCGGACCTTCCCGAGGTTGCGCGGGGCAGGTGCGCTATTTCGGCTTGGGTGTGCAGAGCCGTCGAATGGGATCATGCAATTTGCACGGAGCGTGATACGGACGATATGTGCAGACCGCTGCCAATCTCTGCGCCGCGTCGTGTCGCTTGTTATAATACAGGGGCAGTCGCTTGGCATTCGTACAGGTGCGAGTGAGTGTTGGTTCACTCTGATTGTTTCCTACCTCTCGAGGACTGCGTCTATGTTCGTTGCTTGATGATGACATTCATATAAAGAACTCAAAAGCCCGAAGATCACAAATGCGCTCGCTCAAACGGGCGGCAAACAACTCCCAAATCTACCGTTCAAGACTCAACATGATCGTGGTCTCAGATGACTACTATGAGTCGGAATGACTCTGAGTCCATTTATCGAAGCTCAGGCTCAGTGACGGCAATCATGGCGGACTTCTCTTTGGTCCTCACGTTCGACTCTTCGTAGCCTGGACTTTCGCATTGGGCCGCATATCAGCATCAGGGCTTGCTCGGAGCACCAGTATACCGGACACTCGGCTGCGCTGACGTTCACTCGGTTCCTGTTCAGTACTGGCCTGGGATGAAACACGAATTATCCTATCCTAGATTCAGTGTGGCCAGTGTGGACAAGGTTCAATCTGAAATATCCACTACTTTAAGGTTCGTCTCAAGGCAAACTTTGTACGGTCAGGCAATGTCTCATGGTTCTTTCTTCCAGGCATATCTCGGATGGCGTTAGACTCACTAAGCCGGCTCCCATGATGTTGGACAGGCCTTATCATAAGCCTGTCATTGGGTCTCGACACATCTTATGCTGTTCTGCTCAACGCAACATAGACGCACAACATACCAGAACAGAGAAGCCTGTCAGTCCATCCACTCGCGGCGGTGCACTGCCATACCGATATGCATATAGAGCCTAGCTATACTCCACGCCTATGCATACCACGTCCCGCCTTCCACTGGTACCGCCACACAATGGGGGCGCTCCCTATAGCAGAAGCGCAGCTGGTTGCGCTCTTCATGCAGAGTGTGACCTATGGCGTCCACATGGTGACGTTCGCTATCTGCATATATACTTGGTTCAGTCGCTCGAGCAGCTCCTGGACATCGGCGTCGAGGATTTGGTTGTCTGTCGCCATCGCCTTCTTCGTCATCGGCACTTGCGATGTCTCCTTCAATTTGTATCATAATCTCATGGCGTTCGTCCTCCCTACGGCGTCCTCCGGCGCAAACACTGTTTTTGATCAAGCGAGCAATTGGGTCAACGTGATTCGCGTACGTACATAGTGCATTGGGTCGACTTGTATGACTGATGCAAGGTTCGCTCTAGAGCGTTTGGTTCTATATCGGTGCTTCCCTCTCCGACGCAGCCTTGGTAAGGGCAATGTTTGAATATATGTATCTGCGTGTATTCACTTTTGCGTATGTAGATTTACCGGTGCTGGATGGTGTATGCCAGTTCACGCCATCGGGCGATAGTCGGAATAGTACCTCTGGTACTCTGGCTCGCATGCATAGCCTTCGCGGTAATGATTTTATACATCTTGGGCACTTTGGATGCGGATACCACTATACCCGAGATACCACAATTGCAGCCATACCTATACTCGTTCTATTTGACGACAGTTGTCCTGAATCTCCTCACAACCGGTGCGTTGTCTTCCAGGTCCCTGGTGTATGACATAAACATTTCTGACGCTGTAGCATTGTCGGTCGCAGGTCTAATCATCTTTAGACTGTGGAGGGCTCATAAGCGCACTTCATCGTTCTTCACGCGGAGCTGGCGCGTTCGGAGTCGACTCAGCTTAGCGAATGTCATCTTGATTATGGTCGAATCCGCGCTTCTGTACACCACAACCGTCGTGATCAGCGTCGTCTTGGACCTTGCAAGATCGAATATGTACTACGGTGTCGCTGACATTGTGAGTACTCTACAATTGATGACTGTTGTACCTGAGCTTTTGACGCTGATTCGTAATTTGTAGGGCCTCGAAGTCGCCGGCATTTCTTTCGATATGATCATCATCCGTATCTGGACCGGGGTATCGACGGAGCAGACGCAGGCGTTCGCAGCAACTCTGCCAAACTTATCGAAGTCGAAATCGGAACCAGGGGACCAGGTCGTCTCTGTTCACTACGGCTCAAAAGATCTGAACGCGGCCGAGCTTGTGGTTTCCCGTGTCGAAGTGATCGAGTGGCAGGGAGCTGATGAGAACCCTGTCTGATGTTTGACATCGTTCAGTGACCCTCGACTCCGCTGCTGCTCGTGATTCCTTCTTATGTATAACGGGTCATACAAAGTATGGTAAGGCTCTGTAGTAACGTAGTATATGTATTCTGCGACGCTTGTACGAGGTACTGCGGTGCTACCAAACTTGAAAGCACAGACCCGTCGACCGTGCAACAGTATTTACCACTGATTAGCTAAGGATTGGCTATTGCCCTCGTCAAATCACTGGTATTCACAAGACCAGTCACTTTTCTATCGGCGCGTTCACTTCGAATCCTGCGACAGGCGGAGCCAGGTGTCGGAGAGAAGGCGTGCGTGGCGACGACAAACCCACACCACACGCGTACTCGTCCTAGATGCAGGGAGGTCGGATGGTCGAGATGGACGAGGGCTCGGTGGAGGACGACGGTGGATGTCTATAGCACGAAGTTAGGCCGCCGAGACTCAATGAAACACTTACAAATGTCGAACGCGACTCGACGTGATTCTACTCGACTTGCGACTCGACTTGCTTTGCACCCGCGACCGCAGTTGTCGCGTCTAAGTGCCGAGGTCGGGACAGCGAGGCGAGAGAGAGAGCGAGAAGTGGGGATCTGATTCGATGGAGAGACGGGCAGCTCAGCCCAGTACTTAATACACACGAGAGGAGTTCTAGAACCTTGGAAGCGCGAGAGGGATAAAAAAGTAGAAGAGAGGGAGAGAGACGTCGGCGAGTGAGAGATGGTTCGAAAGAAGCGCGAAGCGTGAGTGTTTGACGTATCGGGAAGGAATGATACCTAATAAGGAAAGTATTGTACAGCAGGCATATGGGCACCCTCCTGGGCGACGGACGTCCCTTGAGTCCCCTTCCAGCGTTGACTGACGAACCCTTGTCTCGGTACGTGATTGGCAGCTCGCACGCGGTGCTATTTACTAATCGCGACCTGGTCCCCCAGCAGGTGCGGCACTCGGCGTCGCGGCGCTCGTCTCGTCCTACTAGTGGGTCCGCGTCGCGGCCTTCCGGTTCGTCGCAGGCGCGCCGGTAGAGTCGAGAGTAACGTAGGGAATTGTAACGAAAAAGAAAAAGAAAAAGAAAGACGTGGGATGGGTTCCCTTCCACACAGGTCAACTATATGTGAACCTACAGCTATGCTACGTACAACATTCGAACACACGTCATACATAGCTTAGTGTGTACATCAGTGAGCAGCAAACACAGCGCTGTGCTTGACGCAAAGTTCGCAGACAGACTGGCAGCTTGCACCGTACAAACGAGAGCAGCCATTCCTGTCAAGAGTCGTTCTTGCCATCGACGAAGCAAATGGTGCGAAGGTTGTCAACAAAGGGCGATACGGCCCTGCTGTGCTCCACCGAAGTCGCCTCTCGGGTGTCTCGTCGTACTTCACGCTGTTTATCCAGCCCATATGCAAATCGTGGGCTCTGCTCCGCCGTGACGGCACGCTAGATCCGTATGACGACTTCGAATGTGATGCCGGCGAGCTCCGTGCCCAGATACTGAGGAAACGTCAGGTCGTCTCGTACAATGTTGCTTACAAGTTCACCGGTGCCGCAGTAAGCATCCGACATTGCGAGCTCAACGGTGACACTGGCTCCGATCGAGAGGGTAGTGCAGGCTGAACGAATATCCAAATGACACTCTTGACGCGGTCTGTGCCAAGCCAGCTGCTCCTGAAGAGGGCAGTGGTATGATGGCCGGATGTACGTCCTAAATGCCATACACGATCAACTTGCCTGGACGTGGTCGTTTGAGCATACAAACTGAGGAATGTGTCTCGCGCTGAGCGCACCTGTCGCCATGTGCAATGCAGGGGTTGTGACGAGGTACGTGGTCAAGTCCGGTCGAAGACATCCATGGCCACGACCCGGCAGTTCTGAGTGAGTCTCAGAGTGTAAACCAGATATACACGCACTGGGTGACCACGTTGACGCCATACGAGACGGGTTCCATGAACAACGCGACCAGCTGCCGGCGATGCACATAGGCGCATCGCTGCCGAGTACGTTCGGTGTACGACAACAACGAGTCGCCGATTATGTCCTAGCACAATCATCCAGACGCCTCGGCATTGCAGCATCATCAAATCATACCTGACCTAAGAGCATAATCCACACGACTCTCACGACCTTCACCATTGACGTGAACCACGAGAAAGATGATCAGCCCCGAGTCGCGCTGGTGCCCCCGACTGGCATCGACGAACTGCGGTCCATCATGTTCAATACATCCAGGTCGTGCCCTATCGGCAGGGCGTGCACTGCCCACAGGACTCGTGTTTGTGAAACTGGAGATAGCGCTGAGGTGTCAGAGAAGATAACGCAGAGAAAGGTACATACTTACGTGAGCGAAGCCTGCAACCGCCTCTCCCGTAGGCAGACTATAAAGCGACCTTTTTAAGTGGGGGAGGACGGTCACATATCATTGAGACAATGTTAGTGCTCTTGTTCATCGCGATGACTTCGCCCATTCCGATTGCAGGTCCTTGAGCGAGTCGTAGTCGAGTCGTAGTGTCCGTTGCAGACCATAAAAGCCGACAAGCGTCTATTATGGTCGAGTCCATCCTGACGTACGATATGAGTCTCCGGATAGACTAGAGTTCTCATATCAACTCACAGTACCTCCTCACACCGCTTGATAGGCAGAACAGGAACGGAACTTCCGCTCGCAGGAATAATACCGAGAAGCTTGTTCCACCCACTGATCAAATCGCCACAGTGCTTCTTCAAGAGGTCCTTGAGCGGAACACCCATCTCCGAGTCCTCCTAGACGGCACAGGGGTTATTCACATGTCTGCTAATGCAAAACAGCTTCGTACCCTGGTTCTGTGGGCGGCCAAAGCCCGCATTGAAACCACTCTGAGCGGCCGCCGCGCCTGTACATACTACGACGGTCTCGACGTTCGCCAGCCTCCTGTGGTCGGACAGCCCAATCCGACGTCCGCGGGGAAACTAGTAGTATGTTTGGCGGCTTTTCTGTTCTGTGACGGAGACAGAACGGAGACTTGGAAAGTAGTGTCCCTACAGTAGTAGTATACACTGAGTAGGCCCAGTACCGGCTGTGGATACCGGGCCGAGGCCCGAGGATCCATGAGATCGGCTCGAAACATGCCTGCCAACGCACTCGCAGCATCTACGCTCGCGTAGACATGCTCTGCTTTTGTATCACCGATTCGTGACCGGCGTGCAAGCGGTGTCCTACCAAACGATATACATGGTACGTGGCCGATCTCGCTGCTGAGGAGGTTGGCAGAGCTCAGGCTCGAGGGAGGGACATCCTATCAAGCTGCATATCTACTCGACTCGGACGGAGGACACCATAGCTCGAAATCTCAAGTCACTTCATATGGAATAGATGGTGGCGGGCTATTTCGTCACTGAGGCTGTGGCCGGAGTCGGGTCTCGGGGTCCTCGACATGAAAAGGCAAGTACTGACCGTGACCTAGCCAGTACTATGATATGGCTGACCAGGTACGCACTCCTACCATCGACCACAAACGCATACAGCTGACTCGGACTCGGAGGCCGCCACTGCCATGGCGCCGGTAGCAGCCATAGCCTGGCCATGAGTCGAGATCGGATCGCTTCTATGTGGTCCTTACGCTCGAGGTTTGTAGCCTGAACTCCTGCATTGGGCATGTATCAGGGGGAAGGGCTTATTCGGAGCGCCGCTATACTGGACAGCTCGCTGCGCTGACATTATTCGGATCCTCTTTAGTACTGGCCTGGGGATGGAAACGCGGGGTCTCTCACCGCAGAACCAGTGTGGTCAATCTGAAGTATCCGCTCTACCGTCAGGTTCGTCTCAAGCAATATATGGTCAGGCAATGTCTGAATTGGATTTCTTCGATTCAGGCACATCTCGTCCAGCGTCAGACTGTCACACAGCACTCATGAGGTCGGACAGGTGTCATCGTAAGTCCGCCATTGGCTCTCGTCAAATCTCGAGTCAACCCAACTTAAGCATGTAACATATCGAGGATAGCGAAGCTGTCAGGCCATGCACCCGCGGCGGTGCACCGCCATACCGACATGTATATAGGGCATAACTCTACTCTATGTCTGAGGTATAAACGTCCTGCCACATACCACGTCCCGCCGGAGTTCCATTGGTACCGCCACGCGATGGGGGCGCTCCCTATAGCAGAGGCGCAGCTGGTCGCGCTCTTCATGCAAAGTGTAGCCTACGGCGTCCACTTGGTGACGTTCGCTATCTGCATATACACCTGGTTCCGTCGTTCGAGCAACTCCCGGACATCGGCGTCCACGATTTGGTTGTGTGTCGCCATCGCCTTCTTCGTCATCGGCAGTTGCGACGTCTCCTTCAACCTGTACCACAACCTCATGGCGTTCGTCCTCCCTGCTACAGCGTCCTCTGGCGCGAAGACTGTTTTTGACGATGCGGGCGATTGGGTAAACGTGATGCGCGTACGTAGTGCATTTGGTCAGCGTGTTTTGTGTGACTGATGCAAAGTTCACTTCACAGAGTGTTTGGTTCTATATGAATGCTGCCCTCTCCGACGCAGCCTTGGTAAGGACAATGTTGGGAAATACGCACATCAACGTGTATTCACTCTTGCGTATCTAGATTTACCGGTGCTGGATGGTGTATGCCAATTCACGCCATCGGGCGATAGTCGGAACAGTACCTCTAGTACTCTGGCTCGCATGCATGGCCTTCGCTGTCACGATTGTGTACTACCTGAGCACTGTGGGTGCGGATACCACTATACCCATGATCCCGCAACTGCAACCCTTCCTATACTCGTTCTATGTGACGACACTTGTGTTGAATCTCCTCACGACCGGTGCGTTGTATTCCAGGTTCCGACGTATGTCAAATGTGTCTCTGACGCTGTTGCATCGTCGGTCGCAGGTCTAATCATCGTCAGACTGTGGAAGATTCATAGGCGGACTTCAGCAGACTTCGCACAGACCTGGCGCGTTCGAAGTCCGAGTCGACTCAGCTTCGCGGATATCATCTTGATTATGGTCGAATCCGCGCTCCTGTACACCACGACCGTCGTGTTCTGCGTCGTCTTGGATCTTGCCAGGACAAATGTGTACTACGGGATCACCGATATCGTGAGTCACCCACATCGGACTGTCGTACAGCTTTTGACATTCTGGTTTGCCATTCGCAGAGCCTCGAAGTCGCCGGTATCTCCTTCGACATGATCATCATCCGTATCTGGACCGGGGTGTCGACGGAAGAGACGCAGGCATTCGCGGCAACCCTCCCCACCCCGTCAAAATTGACAATGGAACGGATGGAACAGGCAGCCTCTGTTCACTCAGGCTCGACGGATCTGCGCGTGATCGATCTTGCGGTTTCTCGTGTCGAAGTGGTCAAGTGGCAAGGATCTGACGAGAACCCTGTCTGATGCTTGGCGACCATCGACTACGGTGCTGGTCAAGATCCCCTTCTGCGTGGCAGGCTATGAACTACTTTTGTAACTTATAGCCCGAGAGGTGAGGGACATAAAACATGTATTCTACGACGCTTACACGAGATGCTGCGGCTACTGAACATGAAACCACGATCATGTCGAACGCAGCAGAACCACACACCAGTCAATTCTGCCTTCGAATAGCCCCAGCTCTCCGCCGGTGAGCTTGTGGCGTCCTCTGCATCGAGGTCAAAGTCATTGAAGATTCATCAAGAGCCCATCGTTATGGCGGCTCACCGCAGTTCCACAGGGCCCGTCATACCCAGTGGTCATATCGAGGACAGTCGCCATACTCGTACCTGCGCTTCTAAAAGTGCCCATGTTGCCAGTCAAAGTGGTAGTGGTGTTCGGGAACCGTAGTCCTCTCTGTCCCGCGGTCGGGATGATTTCCGTTGAAAAGTCGAACCTGACCACATTGATCCACGCAACGACGTTCGCGGCTTGGACTTTCCTGGGGATCTGCAAGCTGGTTATGGGTGACTGTCGTTGTCTTTTGCATCGATGCTCGTGTTGGCACCATCGACTCCTCACAACGTCTCCGTACTTCGCTTCTCTGCATCAAGGGTGTCACTCACAATACAGTGATAGGGGCGGAAGCCAGGTACAAAACAGTATAGATGAGGCTACAAATACTCTACAACATTTCGTTATGGTACTATACAATGATACGCTTCAGAGCATTACACCAATGAGCAGGAAAGCAACAAATTACTCAACGAGGACGTCATTCAAACCTCGCGGCGTGCGTCGCAGTCGAACGTACTGACCGCCACTAACGCCGTCGCCGTCTAACAGACACTCAAGGCCAGTCCTTGCCATCTTCGATGCGAACGGTATGAAGGCTGACGACAATGGGTGACACAGCCCTACTGCGCTCCATCGTATGCACTTCCTGGGTATCTCTTCGCTCGTCGCGCCCTTGCCCCTGCGATTGTGCAAAGTGAGGGGTTTGCTCCGCCGTGACGCCACGCCAGATGCGTATGATGATGAGGTCGAATGTGATGCCCGCAAGCTCCACGCTCTGATAACAACAACGCAACAGTGTTAGCCGCTGTGAGACGTCCAAGAATGTCGACAGACTTACAAGGTCGCTGGTCCCGTAGTATGCGTTCGATCCCGCGAGCTCGACGATGATGCTAACCCCGACCGAGAGGGTATAGAGCAGTGCAGACTCGACGAATATCCGCATTGCACTCCTGATGCGGTCTGTGCTACACAAGCTGCTCTTGAAGAACGCAGTGGTCTGATGGTGTATGTCCCAGATGCGATACACGATCAAGCCTGGTTGTAGTCGCGTGAGTACATGAGCTGTCGGATATACGTCAGGATGAGCGCACCTGTCGCTAAGATGTTCAACGCGAGGGTCAAAATGAAGTAAGCGACTAGGTATGGCCGGAGGCGGGTCGCGTCGGGTATCGAGGTCGACTCGTGAAGGGTGGAGAGGACTACGATGTCCATGACTGCGCAGACGATGGCCCCGAGGCAGAGCAGTATGGGTATGAAGAGGATGAACCAGTGGTGCTTCTTGAAGTCATACTGTTTGTAGACGATCCAGCAGCGAGCAGTCTGGTGCTGCGTTAGCACAAACAAAGAGACAACGGCGAGCAGGGTACTCACAAGGGCGATATCAGAGACCACGGCACTCGATCGAGCCCAAACGCTCTGAACGCTGGTGAGCATAGGGTGGCTTGCAAAGTGGTCATACTACTACTGACCCGCATGACGTCGACCCAGTTCGACATATCATTGAACTGATATTCTGCGCCGCCTTTCCCCGAGTAC